CAACTAGATGATTTGACGGGTGTGTTCTATTTGTCTTAGAAAAATGGAAGAAATCGAAAGCATGACAACAATGATCGCAGAAAAAACTGATGGCGATATAATAAGCGATGAAATAACTGATATTGTTATGAAGTTACTAATGTACATTATTACTCCGGTCATCGCTTTCTTTGGCGTCATTGGAAACTCTTTAAGTATAATCATCCTGGTTAAAAACGGCATCCACAAGTCATCTAACATTCTCCTCATCAGTCTAGCGTTTTGTAATACAGTGTACCTCATCGCCTACAACAGTATACCTAAAGTACTATATATCGCAACTGGACACCTAAGCTACGATGGGTTTTCTGAGTACGATACTTATCTCTTGTTTATCTTCTTCTCTGTATTCACCTTCTTGGATTACTCCTTTGGTTTGATGGCTCTATCAGTGCCGATGTTGATCACGATAGAGAGGTTGATTGTTATATTTTTTCCTCTGTCCTGTCATCGTATAGTCACACCAGAAAGAACGTGGCTGGTACTAGGGACGGTCATACTTTACTGGAGCAGCATTTTCGTCTACACCAGCTTCTGGCTCGACATCGAATACATCTGGGACGCACATTTAAACAAATCTATCGGACGTTTCGAAAATTCAGCCATGATTTCCGGAAACCTTAAAGCTGTTGTTGCTGTGGAAACGTTGTTTGGATACACCAGTATGGTAATACCGCCCCTTTTTACTGCTCTTGGCTGTATCATTATATCCATCAAGCTCAAAATCTCTTCCATTAAACGCAAAGCTTTAAGCGCTAACTCCAGCTTTAGCCAAAAGACGACAAAGATACTCCTTGCGGTTTGTTCCCTCTACGTCATCACCTCAGCGTACGCGTCCATTGCCCTGTTCAAGCCGGAGTACTCGTGGTACACACTGGCGTACAAACCACCGACCAACACGGCTCTGATAGTCAATCAGATTTGCAACATCATCGGCTGCATCAACTGCTCCAGCGATTTCGTCGTCTACATCGTCATGAACAAAAACTTCAGAGTCAATCTGAGCGAACTTTTTCGACGCCGATTAAAATATTAAGCAGCACCACAAGGGGAAGCGTTTTATAACGTGACTATCAGTTTCAGATCCCTATGTTGCACCTGCTTGTTATTCGTCACAGACGAAATGGCTACAATTTCAATGGTTTCAATTCCTGAAACCCAGTAGATTTAGTATTAATCGACTTTAGTGGCTACACCCAAGGCTTTAAGGCACCAAGTATTAATAAATCACACCAACTAACTGGCTCAAGGTTGTTAGTTTTCTTTTCATAATAAGGGTAACTATTGCAAAGATTATAATGCTTGAAGAACTACGTTAAGTCATTTTTATAATTATAATACTTATAACATTGTTAAAAAATATCTATTACTGTAAGAGTTCGTATTTATTTAAGGTAGATAATACTAAAGGGATACAACACAACAATAACAACAATTAATGTGTATCTATAAATTCAAAGACATTTTTGTGTTCACAATGTCATGCTGCCCTATGGCAACAGTATGTAATACAGGGTTAATCCATCTATAGGTAAAAGGTTGAAACAATTTGTAGGTATGATAGCAAAGTGCTGTAATGAATATTAATTTTAGGACTATGTAGAAAAAGAAAGGGTTTAATAACTTTGTATTTCTTAAAATTTAGTGAATGTAGTGCAAAATAGCTTGCTAGGAAAGAAAACTGTGAAATTAAAATGTTATTACCATTCCTGAGTTATTTCCCTGCAATTCTGTAGTATTTCAAGCCTTATGCTTTATAAAAATATGTTTAAGATGTCATTTCAAAATGTTAACAAAAGAGGTATCTAATTGTTTTTATAACCAGTTTTTATTATAATATTGCTAAACATGACAGATCATTTCTGTTTTAAAACAATGATTGTAATAAAATAAAAAGTTTTATTATGTGATTACATTATTGTCACAATATAGAGTAAATATGAACATTATTAAGTGTCAAAGTAAATATTTGAACATTTTTTTTAAAAATTATAATGATTAATAACGTTTGATTGATGCCAACAAGAAGAAAAGTACTTGGTGGCAAGGCAAAATAAAAAATATTAAATTTTGTGAATAGAAATGTTTCTTCTGATAAATTAAAAGCTACCAATAACACCACACTGTTTATGTGTTAGAGATGTTATATCAGTCTTTATGAACATACAGAAAAACATACACAGTTACACAATATTATCAATACAAATAAAATAAAATACATTTTAATAAAAACACAGTAGCATTTTTACAGTTTGGTGCTTTGAGTATTAGATAAGTTATAGTTGATGACTTGAGAATCACAAAATTTATTGTAAAATTACTATAATAATAAATAAAAAATGTGTTTTAATAGAATTTCTGACACAAAAATTATGAAGCATTTTTAAGGAAATCTAAATATTCTAGATTTTATTCATTATGGAGTTTAAATCAAAAACAATATTCATTTTACAAAGCATTATACAATTTAGAAAATTCATTAAGAAAAATTTTGAAAGAATTATGAAAAATATACAAGCTAATTATAAAATTATAACATTTTACTTTAAAAACTATGCAGATAAATATTGACGAAGTGAACGTTTTCTTAAATGTATCTGTCAACTAAATCAATTTGTTTCAACGATAAAAATGTAATGAAATTATGACATTTACCATGATCTTTATTCGAAATTACAAAGCAGTTACGTAATACCAATTGCTTACACGATATATATTCACATTTTTGTATTGAAGTGGAAAAATATGTTTATAAATATGAAAAAAGTTACACTAAAAACTATATACAATGATTGTCTATGAGGGCAACGTTTACAACAATAATCTCTTTTTATTATTAAAAGCTTTAAGTAAGTTTACATCATCTGTTTTTTTTTTTTTTTTTTTTATATGGGTCCCTGCAAATCTTGTAATTTAATTTAAACCCATTTCTAATGCAGTCATTTTGTCCTTAATTTCCAGTAACATTAAACTCTGATAATCCTGCAAGAAAATGTATTTATGATCTTATTAGCAATTTGAATTAGTCTTAAAAATTTAATTTATAAAATACTAAATTTACTAATAAAAGAGGAGATAACAAGATTAAATACTAGCGATCGCTTGAATCACTGGCCGTCAACAGTTGTCTGTTTTTTCATGGTTGCGTGATTTTTTTCTAAGAAGGCGCAGATAACTGCATTTTAGAGATCTCAAGCTTCTAGTCGGTTCTCAGTGCAAATAGTTTTAGTCGTACATTGTGTAGTGGCCATTTCATTTTTAACGAATTATCACTAAATGGAAAATAATGCACAAATGAAAACCTTCTGAATAATGTTTTTAAATGCAATAAAAAATAAAACAAACTTGCTTCCTTTGAAAAAGCTTTGGTATTTAACATATGTAAGAGAAGTCATTAGCTGCTCCACCAAATGTTAGGGTAACATATACACGACATATTATCATAAAGAAATCCATTGAATAATCATTTAAATACACATTTGCATTTTGAGGGATTTAAAAAAAAATTGTAATTAGACGTTTTGTATTAGATCTATGTATAAGTAAACCATCTTAAATGAATGAAAATAGGCTACAAGTAAGAAAGAAATATTACTATTGTAAATCTTTATCAGTCATCACAAGCCCGTGATAAAAACTGTAATATTAAAGCGAACATGCAAGGCAAACTGACACTGTAAATTATATGTCTGAGGCGGAAAAAAGAAAAAGCAAACAAAAAGAACTTGGCAATTCTGGCAATTAAAAAATATTATTAAATTACAGCATTATGAACAAAATTAATTAAAGAAAAGAGTTCTGTTAAAAAAAGTTAGCAAAATCCTAAGTAATTCTGGCATTAAAGCTTTTAGCTTTAACTCACACACTACTTTATTATATAAGCTTACTATTAAACATGCATGTTATTTATAATTACAACCAATTTTTTAGACCAGTAAGGTACAAATATAACAGACATCAATAACCGTTAATCAAGTTAATTCTTTCATTATGTACATTTTTCAGTTAGTTTTTTAGCCTTCAACCATGTATTAATATGAGTAGCTGGGTATTTTTATTGATATAATTTTGGCACATAGATTTGCATTGCTGCGGTTTTGTCAGTCTTTGACTGCTTGGTCCTTTCTTTAATTCGGGTAATCTGGTCAACATTGCTGTTTTGTCTATTGCTGTTTTGTCTGTTGTACTATAGATAAATAGGTCAGTATTGCTGTTTTGTACTTGTTATAATTATGATACATGGGTCTGTATTGCTGTTTTATTCCTGCTTTTATTAGAATACATGGGGCTGTATTACAGTTCTGCTCTTGCTATAAGTATGGTACACTGGTCTATATTACTGCAATTTTGTCCACGTTACACTATAGGTACATTTGTCTGTATTGCTGTTTTGTCCAGGCTATAATAAGGATACATGGGTCTGTATTGCTGTTTTGTCCAGGCTATAATAAGGATACATGGGGCTGTATTGCTGTTTTGTCCAGGCCATAATAAGGATACATGGGTCTGTGTTGCTGTTTTGTCCAGGCTATAATAAGGATACATGTGTCTGTATTGCTGTTTTATCCAGGCTATAATAAGGATACATGTGTCTGTATTGCTGTTTTGTCCAGGCTATAATAAGGATACATGTGTCTGTATTGCTGTTTTATCCAGGCTATAATAAGGATACATGTGTCTGTATTGCTGTTTTGTCCAGGCTATAATAAGGATACATGTGTCTGTATTGCTGTTTTATCCAGGCTATAATAAGGATACATGGGTCTGTATTGCTGTTTTGTCCAGGCTATAATAAGGGTACATGGGTCTGTATTGCTGCTTTATTTTTGCTTTAATTAGAATACATGGGACTGTATTGCTGTTCTGTTCTTGCTATAAGTATGGCACACTGGTCTATATTGCTGTTGTTTTATCTATGTTACACTATAGCTACATGTGTCTGTATTGCTGTTTTGTCCAGGCTATAATAAGGATACATGGGGCTGTATTGCTGTTTTGTCCAGGCTATAATAAGGATACATGGGTCTGTATTGCTTTTGCCCTCTGTTGTGGTTGTTACTGAGATCACAGATGGCGACAGGACCATAAGTACTCTCACGATAAAGAAGTGCATCTATAAAAAAGAGCATTTACTATGTATAAGTTACATTTGTAGATTGCATTCCCTGCTGTTTATGTACATATATTCATTGTATTTTTAGACTACTTAGTCACTGTTTATATATATATATACATACACACACACACACACACACACACACATATATATATATATATATATATATATATATATATATATATATATATATATATATATATATATATATATATATATATATATATATATATATATATATATATATATATATATATATATATATATATATATATATATATATATATATATATATATATATATATAATCGTTATAAGGGTTTTGACAGGAATAAAAAATCTAAGATTTTATTTGTTATCTCTTTTGTTTTTATTCCAGTGAAACTTATTTAACCAAAGACGTAAAACGCTTCATGTTTGAACACGTTTTATAACTACAGCACATACCAGGTTTAACAGATCTGCTTTGGTCATCAGCCAGCAATGCTAGATCAACCTCTGTAGGTTCTGCTATTTGGTTGGTACAGGCTGATGAAGGCGCGTCTGTACTATCTTGCATGGTGTATGTCAGTGGAACACTGCCGATGATAATCTCTAGGGGTATAGTGAGTTTTGTGGCCAGTCCTGAGGGTTCAATGCTCAACTACAAACACAAAAATATCAGAGAAAAATTCAGTTCAAAACAGTTTAGATTATCAATTAATAGTAATTGTTTAATTCAGTTTTATAGTTTTCGGATAATGTTAATATAATTATGGTCCTGGGTGGTAGGAAAAAGACTATTTTATAATATAAGTTTTAAGATCTAATTAAAACTTAAATGAACCTATATTACTTTTCCATTACCATTTGATACAAATTTCAATGTGTTAGTGAATATATAAAAAATCATGATTAAGTTATTGATAAAAATGATAAGATGCTTAAACCTAAATCTTAATCTAAAGAGTTAAATAATTCTTCTAGTAGGCCTACGAAAGTAAATTTATTCTAAAATACCTACAAAGAGTGTTCCATAAATGAAATGAAGAAAATGATAAATATTTTCACTATTTATGTGGGTGTTGCATCCGAATGTAATTTCAATCAAATTAATATCATTAAGCCAGTGGCGTAGCGAGGTCTGGTGTCACCAGGTGCGGCACTTAATGGTGTCACCCCCCAGAGGCGTAGCGACCCTTCCCGGGGACAAAGTTTCAATTTTCGATTTGCATCCCGCTCAAACTTTCGATTTGCAACTCTTAAAAGACTATTTAACACTCGAGTTAATCCATTAAGTGGAATTATCTTTTTTCTCTATATATTTTGCTATTTTTCGCCTTGGTGTCACCCCCAAAATGGTGTCACCCGGTGCGGTCCGCACCCCCCCCCCCCCCCCTTCGCTACGTCTCTGCATTAAGCATTGTTAAAACAGATTGCAGTGTTTCATCACAAAAATAAACAATAACGTCATTGATGGCAATCATGACAATCCAGCATCACCTGTAAAACGTAATTGACATCTATGATGGAGCATTCAGTAAGGAAGGATGGGGGTAGTGGAGGGATGGTCAGAGCCTCATCTTTCCAAATGTCCTCGCTGTGTTTCTCTATGCTGGTGTGGGTGCTGTGTGCCACACGGGTGTGCTCAGTTTTGGTCGAGGTGCGGGTCTGGAAAGTTTTTTTCTGAAGACAGGAATATAAGAAATTTACAACACATTTACATAAATAAACACATCGTTTTTAAATATTTGGAGATGCAATAAAAATGGGGCATTTTATGTGTTTCTAGCTACTTATGCACACATTTGCTGTTCAATTTAAAAAAAATATATAAATGAGAAAAAAATTGATTTAAAAGTAACAATGTAATTTTGAAGACCGAAATCGCACTTTGACATATATTTGCCACTTGCTAGACGACATTACCGTTATTACAATATCTTCTAACACTCTTACACGGTGCCCGAATAGATCTACAAATATAGCCTAAGTGGTTTAAAACAATGTTTAGATAGGCTTACATAAGTGCTTTAAAACCAATTATATGGCTCGGAATTGTTACGTTTTAGGCTACAACATTTGTTCAAAAGTTTGTTCTGCAATATTAAATTAAAAATTTAAATTGTCACTCAGTTACTTGCCATGATCAGTTCAATCGTCGATTTCCTAATTTTCCTATTCGAGCCGTTTATAATGTGGGCGTGTAGCTTTATGGCCTCGCCAGGGACGTAACCCTGCCTGTCGACGTGCAGAGTTGCCTCGATACTTCCAGACTTGCAGCAGAGACAACACAGTTGCTTCCACTTGGTCGCCTGCTGGGGTTGCTGAATAAAATTGACAAACATTTTTCTTTTTGTAGATATAGATCTATGTATTGTCTATTGTCACCAACACCTTTGGAATATACAATTTTCTTTACAATGTTTATGAAAAACACAATTTCCAGGAGATGTTTTTGGTCATTCGTTTTCTGATTAAATAAACACAATTGTAAGTGATGAAGTTACATAAACAGCGTATATAAATCTAACTTTAAACATTGTTTAATATCTTTTCAAAATGATTTGCATATTTGCCTAAGTATATTCATGTTATTTTCCTATTTAAAATTCATGATTTCTTAGGTTCTTTATGATTTCTTAGGTTTTCTTAACCTGACCATACGATTTTCATAAAATAAAATAAAAATATCCAAGTAAAATAAGTGTTTAAAACAACAGAAAATTGTTTGAAGATTATTTGGACATTGTTTGTAAAGATTAACAACCAAATCGCAACAACTGTACTGGATGTTTTTTTTTATATTAGAGCAAAGGGAAGTAACCGCGTGATTCAGGTCGAGCTTATTTTAAGGAACCAGCACTCCTACACACAACATACTCAACAGTATAACATGTTTTGCGATTTTTGTCACTGATATTTGATCCGAAAGTGTGATAATTAGTTATGTATGTGTACACAGATTTAGTTAACTCTCACGACTTGTAGCTTGGGTAATGTTTTAATAACCATTTTAATAAAAGAAAATTAGAAAAACATTTGGAAAACTTCCTGTATTAACTTGTGGATTTTAATCGTTGACGCATTATTAACATTTATTTTATTATTAATATTTTTGATAGGACAGTACTTTGTGGAATGAAATTGACCTTTATTCACATCTAAAACTATTTGTTTCTGCCATTGATGCGTTTTACAAGTCTAACTTTTACTTTTGTTAAAAAACGTTTTTGACTGAAATCTTTACCTTGAACGTTTACCTACATCTCAGCAAACGTAGTTTTAGTTTCGTAAAGTAAAAATCACCTCAGCATATTTAATATTTATATTTTACTTTGGAAACAATAACACAAATTGAAATAGTAAAACGCCACCATGGTTTCCTCACCATACAGTTGGGTCTCGCGTTCAAATCCAAATTGTTGATGACGGTGAAGGGGTGCCAGGCCTTGAAGGAATCCTTCCACGGCCGTTCTATGACGCAGCAGACGATATACCTGACGCTGCCGAACGGGTCTTCGAAGGAGGAGGGTAGCCTGTCGGGCAGCTGGTAGAACAGGGGGTAGGTGTGTCTGCCGGCCTCAAGCTTGTAGGCGTGGCTGCTCTTCTGGTCAGCTGAAAGGTCAAATGACAGGTCAATGTCTTAACTTTACGTTCATTTAAATGTCAACAATGCTGCTCTGTATGAGTGTGCGACTATTCATCAAACGTCATTGCATGATAGCTTGTAGAGACCACACGAACTTAACGAACATGATGCGTACTTTTCGTATTCTTTTGAACATGTCGTTTCATATGCATGCTTTTTTTTTTCTTGCCTAATCTTTTCTGAACCATTTATGAGAAGATTGATGTCCTTGTTTTAGAGGGGAGGTGCTAAAGCGCATATATATATATATATATATATATATATATATATATATATATATATATATATATATATATAGCCTAGCCCAGATGATTTTCTCTAATTCGAATTCGCCTTTAGATACTGTTTAAGACTTTCTAAAACAGAGTCACCAAGATTTGTTACCATTTGTTTTATATAACACGTCCTCTATCTCACCCTATACATGCAAGTAATATCATCCGACATGCAATTATTAATTTGGCTAATAAGATAGAAGCACACATCATTTATCCTCTAAAATTTGGGTGTAAATCAATCAACATCAATAATGTAGAAGAATTTGTTCGGAAACGTCATTACAAATGTCATGTTGTGTCATTCCTCCATCTGGACCCCCACTCTACTTCTCTGCGTTGACCTACATGCATTTATTGATGCCAATCCGATGTCATCGCAAACTCATTGGTGTGTGTGTATGTGTGTAAGTGTGTGTGTGTGTTAGTGGGTAAGTGTATGTGCGTTGGTGTGTGTGTGTGTGTTTGTGTGTGTGTGCGTGCGTGCGTGCTTAACTTGGCACTGATTTTACCAGCGTAACTGATAGGTTTGCATTGTCATAGACACAAGGTTGCGGAGATTTTGCTTGAAATTTGTGTCTTTTTAAAAATTGATAACGAAAAGATTCATTCAATATGTTTCAAGGAAAGTTATGAATCAAGGATCTATGGCCACAGTGATATAGTGTTTACAAAATAACAACACCAATTTCAAAATCACAGCGACTTACTACAAACAAAACTAACACACACATCAAACAATAGGACGAAGCATTATATTAGTTAGTTTACCATCAGGCAAGAGTTATGGGAGCTGGCGAAAGATTTACCTAAGAGGTTGACTTGCTCGTCAAAATACTTTTCGCTGTTGGAATGCTCGCTGTCCTTTAGTGTCCTTTCTTCGCCTGTGGTCACTTTCTCTGACCAGTGAACTGTAGCCTCACCTTTATAGGTGACCTTGATGCCTAAGATTCAAAATAAGATAAACCAAACATTTGTATTTTAACCTGTTTAATATATTCGGTTATGGTTATAATTTAACGTCAAAACTAAAAAATAACTCACAATCTAGACAAACGGTGTGTGTTTCATTGACCAAATAATATAAAATAATGATATACTAATCCTATAGTGTAGCGAAAATTCTAATTGATATAATACACATTTTGTTTATTTAATATCACGTACCGTACACATGTTGCCTTACAATTTAGAGCACAGCAACAAAACCCACCTTTAATTTCTATAGCCTTGCTTAACTCAATGGTGACTTCCCCTTCCACGGTTTCTCCCCCGTGGTATACATGTAAGGGACGGAACAAAGAGATCTCGAACGTTGTCAGTTTCTCCATCTAGAGAGAGACAACAGTGACATGTTCACTGTACACAGAACAATGCATTCAATATAACAATACATTTAATACAACAATAACATTCTTACAAAAACACGTCGGCAACGGTCTCAAGACAAGATACAGGAGAGAGGCGAACTTCTTAGGATAACACAAACAACTTTCTTTGGATAAAATAGAGGCAACTTTCTTAGGTCAACATAGGGACCATTTTCTTAGGACAATATACTAACAAATTTCTTAGGTGAACATACAGACACATTTTAGTCAACATAAAGACACATTTTTAGGTCCACATACAGACGACTTTCTTAGACAACATCCAGGCACATTTCTTAGGACAACAAACCCCACTAAAATACCACTAAAAATAACTTACCCTACTCACTGTAAGAACAATGAAAACCTCAACAGGTTGTTCATCCGGATGCACACAAATCAACGCGCATCCAACAACATAAACGTCACGGTCAATACACTGCACGTGAATCCCTGCTCGCGCTAATCAATGCTGCGCGCGCACTGTCAACGCATGCCTTGATATTACCAGACGACAAATAAACGAGTACATGTATACTTCCGCTGTCTTCGTGGTTGCGTGTTTTTTTTTTCCGTTATTGTAAAAAAAAGAAGTCAATGTTCTTTCTCGTTCTGCCACTCTTAGCTTACTGCAGCATTATCGGGTGGAATATTCAGCAGCTAATGCTAGTAATGAGGGGTAATTGTGGTGTACATAAACACACACGTGTGCCACTCTTCTGCCCCCCTCCTCCCTCCCCTCTAGCCAGCTGGTCAACGGTCACACAAAGAGAAAGGTCTTATTAGCATAATGAGCCAACAGGCTTTCACTGGCGTATGGGTCTGACAGGGAAATCAAAAATTGAGGAAAGGAAACAAAAAATACACTAGTTTTATATGGAAATTGTGTGAAAGTATTAATTTGCATATATATATATATATATATATATATATATATATATATATATATATATATATATATATATATATATATATATATATATATATAAGCCCCTATATATGTATATATATATAGTTTTTTGACCATACAGTACGACACCGCGTCCTTTAAGAGTCGCCCCCCTCCCCCTCCCCACTATTTGAGCATGAAGAGATACAGTAAAGAATATAAATAGTGTGATTCTCGCCGCGTCGAAAAAATGATAGAAAAGCGCGATTTTTAACCCTGTCTGGCTAATGAGCATAGTATGAGCAGGTAATGACCGTATAACTGAAATAGAGAGTGTTCTGGGAGGGGGGTGGATGGGTGGGTTATAATTGCGTCGTATGAGCTAATCATACGCGAACGAATGAGTTAGTGTAAAAAAAATTCGTCCCTCCTCCCCTAACCCTCACCACGCTACTACACGTAGGATTATGTTATACGACCAAAAATAATGAGAACTTCACAAACCATTACAGTAGAAATAATTTATTTGCACCGGACGACCTATGTTAATTTACAGAACCTCACAATGGGGCGTTCTACCAGCGTTCTTACCATAGGATCCCGTGTATCATGTTGCCGATTTTCAAGTATAGGGGAAATAATCACGGATAGACATTGTTGTTTTATTCGTGTCTATATTAAGCCTAAATCAATTTATCCACTTAGCTACTTACATATTCAATAAGAAATAAAAAGAACGGCTTATTTTTAAAATAAAATATGATACACATGTATTCCCTAGCCCAAAGCATACCACCTAATTTATCGTAATCATTGCTAGAAATCGATAGGAAAATACATTTACAATTTTTCAGCTGTTGCTTAGGTTAAAAATAAATGTTTAACTCATCCAAGACAACACAAATTTAGAAATTTAAACAGTGTAAATCTTTTGCGTGCGGTATAAATAAAGGGAAACAACCAAGAGAAAATAAATTTTGCTCTTTTCTTTTACAGATAAAGGGTTTAAACAGCATAAGCGTGATCGCATCTAAAAGAATATTTGAAAAAAAAACTAATAATGTAAAGGTTTCAGTTACCATAAAAAACCTCACTGATAAGACTCGCTTCAAAGATAAGATCCAGGGCTGTTAGATTAATAATTTTACCTGACACAAACCGAAGTAATTTTGCTGAGTATTTTTGAATTTACAGTATAAGAGGGAAGGGAAATTACTTCTTTCGCTTCGCGCGTTCGCTTAAAAATAAGTTTAAATAAACCGGGAGTGATCTCCCCTAAACTTTCTCGAATATTCTTACATAAAATAAACCGGGATTATTCTCCCCTAAACTTTCTCGAATATTCTTATATAACACTACGTGGGATGGCAACTCGGAATATAGACATGATTTTTAATTACTTAAACTTTTTAAAAATAGAATAGAATCTCAAAGAAAAAAGAATTGCGCACCAAACGAACGCCAAAACAAAATGTGCATAATAGTGCGCAATATTATTAGTACTTTATAAATGTATATGCATTTTTTTCAGAAATCGGAAATAGCGTAAATTACTACTACCGTTCAACGGAAATTACTCAAAATTTGAATTAGATCTTTTATTTACATGTGCAATTTCATTTATCTATCTGAAATAGTACTCAAGTTATAGGATTTTAAAAAATTCAAAGTAGAAAAAGTACCACTTCCGGTTATCGGAAATCGCTCAAAAGTTGTTACGGATCTACGATTTTGATCTAATACTTATATATGAAATTTCATCAACCTAGCTGTAACTGTACTCAAGTTATCGTGTTTACACACACATAGACACACATACACACACAGACATACGAACAAGATTGCAAAACAATTTTTTTTCGACTCAGGGAGCCCTAAAACGTCGAGATTTGAAAAAATCTCAATTTTTTTTGCACGATTACAAGACTTTCTCTATACTACGTATATACGAGAAAGTAAAAATAATGACAGACATTGAAAATTTCGATCCTCCTTATCTCCCACATAACAGCGCAACAGGAAACTCTGGCAACTGAGGTCACGATTTTATTATAATTTAATTAATGAGTCACTTTAAAAAACCTTATGTCATTCTCTTGTCTATTAAACAGGCTCTGTTGGTCAATGGATGTTTGTTATAAAGAAATGATTACCAAATGATTACCAAATGATTACCAAATGATTACCAAATGATTACCAAATGATTACCAAACCCTAAATCAGTGGAGAGACATGTTTTATTGACTGTTATTTTAATTGAATAAAAAATATTTTTTTCTTAGAATAAAACTAAACGTTTAATCTTAACCTGTGAACTGGTTAAATGGCTAATCTCAGTCAACCCGTCTTTAAAAACGTCGCAAACTTTTGAAAAACAAATTTGCACTGCATACACACAACCCATAAGAAATAAATTTATTCAATTTCCATAGAACATTTTGCAAGACACCATAGTCCAATCGTAATTTTGTAGTAATTACGAAAAGTACATCTACTTTTTATTGTTATATTTCGAAGGTTAACGAAACTTAAGTTTATTATAACATAAGTTGATTTAAAAAAAAAACTTCCATATAATCAACAACCTAACCTAAAATCAGGACAAGTACTCTACACCAATGTAGTTGCATGTCTCTTATCTAACAACAACTACATTTAAACGCAAATCTTTTAAATGTCTTAGATAAAAAGGACGTTCAATGTTTTAGACTGTGTTTCCGTCTGACTGTTTTGATAAGGGTAAGTCTTATGTTACGTTACTGTTTGTTTTCTCGCTTAATTAAACTTCATTAATGAATTAGGTTAGCAGGTGGTTGTTAATCGAGTTTGGGCAAGGCTTGAGCCCAAATTACTGGAACCCACACCGAGACCCTATTTACACAAACCAGGCAATACACACAGTGTTTCTTCCAGACTTTTTTCTCCGGGGTGCACTTGAAATTTTCGGGGGGGGGGGGGGCGGTAGACTTTCTTCGGGGGGAGGGGGGGGGGGGGGGCGGACACTGTTAAAAGTATATATTTTCTATATAAATTAAATACATTTCATTTCGTTCGGGGGGGGGGGGGGGTAAAAAATGTTTGGGGGCCCCGAAGAGATGCCTGGAAGAAACTTTGAATACACACAGGATCCAACGGAAGACAAGAACGTTTTCAAAACAAAGCTAAACTATCTTAACAAAGCGTACAGTAGCAGACACGTCCATTGGTATCTTTGACATTGATATGTCCATCTTAAATATTTCAGTTGACCTTGACCTTCGATCATGTTGGCACCCCTGGCACTGACCTTGCTCTTCGTGAGCGCCTCTGTGGCTGGACCGGTTCCTGCGCAGGTAACATGGTGCTGCGTTCGTATGGTAGTACCACGCTAGAGAGATTACATGATTACATTAGCACTGTTACAGTTTAAAAAAAAAAATAAAGAACTAGAGAGTTAACCTGACTACACAGTGCTTACATTTTGATAATAGCTAAACAAATAATGGCCTGAAGTGATTACATTACTCTGTGTTTACATTTCGATAATAACTTTATTGATTACATTACACTCCGCTTACATTATTATTTGACTCAAAAACTAGATAATTAACCTGAATACTTTACACTGTTTACATTTTAATATTAACGTACAAATGATTTTCCTGTCATGATTCTATTACACAGTGCTTAAATTTTAATAATAACTCAAAAGCTAGAGATGTAACATGCTTACATTACACTGTGCTTCAATGTAATCATATCTTACAATATAAAAGATTCTTAAGCAATATGATATACTCAAGTTAGGATAGAGAATAAAGGTGTAAAAGTATCCATATTCTTAACCTCAGCACTATTTGCTGTTGTGTTTCATTGGGGAAACTTAGTTTAGAAAATTTATTCGAGTATCGTTAATATACAAAAACATTTCAAGCATAACAGGTGTTAGAAATAAGTGAATTAATATATTCATTTTTTCTCTCTTAGAGTGACGCGATCGGAAACCTGATCAACGATGCTGTTGGAATTTTATCTGGAGGAGTCGGGAAGAAAGGTCTCCAGGAAAGTGATTTGGTGATCGTGGCTGACATTCTGGGTTCGGTTCTTGGGCAAGCTCATGAACGCGACTTGGAACAGGAAGGTGACATCTCATTACTGGCTGACATTTTAGGATCAGTCGTAGGAAGTTTCTTTGGAAAGAGAAGTTCCGAAACACAAGATGACATATCATTACTGGCTGACATTTTAGGATCACTCGTAGGAAGTTTCTTTGGAAAGAGAAGTTCCGAAACACAAGATGACATCTCATTACTTGCTGATCTTTTAGGATCAGTCGTAGGAAGTTTCTTTGGAAAGAGAAGTTCCGAAACACAAGATGACATCTCATTACTTGCTGATCTTTTAGGATCAGTCGTAGGAAGTTTCTTTGGAAAGAGAAGTTCCGAAACACAAGATGACATCTCATTACTTGCGGATATTTTAGGATCAGTCGTAGGAAGTTTCTTTGGAAAGAGAAGTTCCGAATCACAAGATGACATCTCATTACTTGCTGATCTTTTAGGATCAGTCGTAGGAAGTTTCTTTGGAAAGAGAAGTTCCGAAACACAAGATGACATCTCATTACTTGCTGACATTTTAGGATCAGTCGTAGGAAGTTTCTTTGGAAAGAGAAGTTCCGAAACACAAGATGACATCTCATTACTTGCTGACATTTTAGGATCAGTCGTAGGAAGTTTCTTTGGAAAGAGAAGTTCCGAAACACAAGATGACATCTCATTACTTGCTGACATTTTGGGATCAGTCGTAGGAAGTTTCTTTGGAAAGAGAAGTTCTGAAACACAAGATGACATCTCATTACTTGCTGACATTTTGGGATCAGTCGTAGGAAGTTTCTTTGGAAAGAGAAGTTCTGAAACACAAGATGACATCTCATTACTTGCTGACATTTTGGGATCAGTCGTAGGAAGTTTCTTTGGAAAGAGAAGTTCCGAAACACAAGATGACATCTCATTACTTGCTGACATTTTGGGATCAGTCGTAGGAAGTTTCTTTGGAAAGAGAAGTGCCGAAACACAAGATGACATCTCATTACTAGCTGACATCTTAGGATCACTCGTAGGAAGTTTTTTTGGAAAGAGAAGTTCCGAAACACAAGATGACATCTCATTGTTTGCTGACATTTTAGGATCAGTCGTAGGAAGTTTCTTTGGAAAGAGAAGTTCCGAAACACAAGATGACATCTCATTACTTGCTGACATTTTGGGATCAGTCGTAGGAAGTTTCTTTGGAAAGAGAAGTTCCGAAACACAAGATGACATCTCATTACTAGCTGACATCTTAGGATCACTCGTAGGAAGTTTTTTTGGAAAGAGAAGTTCCGAAACACAAGATGACATCTCATTGTTTGCTGACATTTTAGGATCAGTCGTAGGAAGTTTCTTTGGAAAGAGAAGTTCCGAAACACAAGATGACATCTCATTACTTGCTGACATTTTGGGATCACTCGTAGGAAGTTTTTTTGGAAAGAAAAGTTCCGAAACACAAGATGACATCTCATTACTTGCTGACATTTTAGGATCAGTCTTAGGAAGTTTCTTTGGAAAGAGAAGTTCTGAAACACAAGATGACATCTCATTACTTGCTGACATTTTGGAATCAGTCGTAGGAAGTTTCTTTGGAAAGAGAAGTTCCGAAACACAAGATGACATCTCATTACTTGCTGACATTTTGGGATCAGTCGTAGGAAGTTTCTTTGGAAAGAGAAGTGCCGAAACACAAGATGACATCTCATTACTAGCTGACATCTTAGGATCACTCGTAGGAAGTTTTTTTGGAAAGAGAAGTTCCGAAACACAAGATGACATCTCATTGTTTGCTGACATTTTAGGATCAGTCGTAGGAAGTTTCTTTGGAAAGAGAAGTTCCGAAACACAAGATGACATCTCATTACTTGCTGACATTTTGGGATCAGTCGTAGGAAGTTTCTTTGGAAAGAGAAGTTCCGAAACACAAGATGACATCTCATTACTAGCTGACATCTTAGGATCACTCGTAGGAAGTTTTTTTGGAAAGAGAAGTTCCGAAACACAAGATGACATCTCATTGTTTGCTGACATTTTAGGATCAGTCGTAGGAAGTTTCTTTGGAAAGAGAAGTTCCGAAACACAAGATGACATCTCATTACTTGCTGACATTTTGGGATCACTCGTAGGAAGTTTTTTTGGAAAGAAAAGTTCCGAAACACAAGATGACATCTCATTACTTGCTGACATTTTAGGATCAGTCGTAGGAAGTTTCTTTGGAAAGAGAAGTTCTGAAACACAAGATGACATCTCATTACTTGCTGACATTTTGGGATCAGTCGTAGGAAGTTTCTTTGGAAAGAGAAGTTCCGAAACACAAGATGACATCTCATTACTTGCTGACATTTTGGGATCAGTCGTAGGAAGTTTCTTTGGAAAGAGAAGTGCCGAAACACAAGATGACATCTCATTACTAGCTGACATCTTAGGATCAGTCGTAGGAAGTTTCTTTGGAAAGAGAAGTTCCGAAACACAAGATGACATCTCATTACTTGCTGACATTTTGGGATCACTCGTAGGAAGTTTTTTTGGCAAGCGACATATTTAGCTTCCTCATTGAAAATATACAAACCTGCGATTAATTAACAGTGTTCAGAATCAAGAGCGACTGTTATTAAATCTATTTTGAAACAAACCCAATCTTCAACTGTTATATGTTTTTCTGTTTTGTTTTAAATATTTGCTATTATGACTATTATCCCTAATTTAATGTTTGCAAACGAAAAGTCTTGATTTCTAAGCCTTCGAAGATGAAGCTCAATAGCTAAAAGCAGCAACAGAGTCGTAGCGACTCTTCCCGGCGCCCGGAGACAAACATTCGATTTGCACCCCCCTCAAGCTTTCATTTTAATTTTTCCAACACATTTTGGCGCCCCCTAAGGTCGGCGCCCGTGGGCATATGTCTCCCCCCCCCGCCCCCCCCCCCCCCACCCCACCTCACTACGCTACTGAGCAGCAACCAGTCTACGACAGAAAACATTAAAATCAAACAACTGCTGCCTTGTAGTTTGTTCTTGGATAAACAAACGGTATAGAAGTAAATCCAAAATTCAACGGTCTATTTGGCGCATAACAAGTTGACACGTAATACTTGATTGTGATGAAGGAAATCTTTTCCTACATTACAATAAAGAACGAGGAAGAGGAAGGAGAATCGAAGTATTATGGTAAAAAAAAAAGAAACGGTCGTACCTTTTATCATAATTACGCAATAATTTCATGCTATTTTGTACTTCCTCCGAGTCTACGATTCAGTTCCGAATTACAGAGTTCTAACTCCAATTATTCAGAAGTACGAATGAGAAGATGGAGATGGCTGGGCCATGTCCTTCGCATGAACATGAGATGACTCCCCAACATGACACTGAAGTGGACTCCGCCTGGAAAGCGAAAGAGAGGAAGACCACTGGGAACATGGAGGAGAGAGATGAAAGAAGAAGTGCAGGCTACTGGCAAGACCTGGCATAATCTAAAAAGGCTCGCCCAAGACAGAGTGGAATGGGAGAGATTTGTTGCTGCCCTCTACTCCACTGGCAGTTACGAGGATTAAGGAACTACATTAAAAAACGTTATTCGGTCGCCGCAGTACGGCAGGAAGTCGGCACTATTGATGTTGACGAACATCAGTTTTGTTGGTCCCTTCCTGGAAGGTTCCATTCACTCCCCACACCACCCCTAACAAGTAGCGAACAGAGAAATGGACTGCTTATGATCTACCTAACCGTGCATTCAACACTTTCAAAAATTTTATCAGAAATAACTCAGCAAATGTTCATTTAATTGTATGTTCTTGTATTTGTTTAACGAATATATATATATATATATATATATATATATATATATATATATATATATATATATATATATATATATATATATATATATATATATATATATATATATAAACAGGGAAATAAGATTCCGTACTCGATAAACTATTGACTGACTGTCATGCTAACTTTGTAGTTGTACTTTTTCTCGATTTGGTCTCTAGCCATGACAATAATGATATGAGTTACCAACAAATAATTTTGAAACTAAATTATATTATTATTACTACTATTAATATTATATACTATTATATACTATTATATATATATATATAAATATATATATATATATATATATATATATATATATATATATATATATATATATATATATATATATATATATATATATATTTATTTATTTATTTATTATTTATTTATTATTTATTTATAGGGCGGACCGGAAAAAAGTTATTCTGGGGGACGGGGGGTGGGCTTTTTTTTCTAGTTCCGCCGCTGATATAAAGTTAATATTAATTATAAAAAATTATATATATATATATTTTAGCAATGCAGATCACCTAGTTTATTTCACAACGTCTAAGCATTACTCTTGTAAACAAGCAACACGTTCAAAAGTAGGTTGTCATCAATCACTAAATGTATCTATCGATCGGAAAACCCGGCACACCTCTAACACACAACATGCCCTGTTATGGTGATTTCACCTTGACATTGAAACACTGACTTCAGTCGATCTCACTTTACCTGGGCAGGATTTAAATATCCTTAAAAGAGCGGACCACGTGAGCATTAGGCTGGGACGTTATGACAATAAGTCATAACAGAATTTGCTTACGGCTATCGACTAAGGCGGATCTAAACATTGATTCATTTTGGAGAGGGTCTCTACCTCCTACTCCTCTGTATCTTCTTCTCTCTCGCTAAATATGCATTTGCATATATATATATATATATATATATATATATAATTATATAAATAAATAAATATATATATATATAAATAAATATAAATATATATATATATATATATATATATATATATATATATATATATATATATATATATATATATATATATATATATATATATTTATTTATATAATATATATATATATATATATATATATATATATATATATATATATATATATATATATATATATATATATATATATATATATATATATATATATAAATAGGCATGTACATATTATATGTATGTTTATGTGTGTATATAATTTGGTTCCACAAATATACATTCATGCAGGCTTTGTAACAGTATCTCCAACAAATCCAAATTTTCCTTTCTAACAAATCCTGATTCCGCTTCACCTTCTCTATTAACTGCAATTTTAACTTCATTAGTTGACTTTTCAACAAAGAACATTCGACTAAACTTAGAGATCACACAGCCTATCACATCAAAACAAAGCGTTGTGAGGTTTTCAAATGTTAGACAAAATTGAGGAATTAGTGACTGTTGTAATCATAAACATATAATAATCCACATTTAGTGTAAAGGTAGAAAATTGCTAAGGCTTTGAGGGTAATCCTACTTCTAAACTTTGAAATAGTGTTTAAAAATAACAAAAGCTGGTTCGCTCTGCTTGAGAACCATTGTCACACATCGCTGACCTTAATAAACAATTTAGATCCGGGAATTCCGTATTACATCGTATTGAGGCTAGGCGGGGATTCCCCTAAGGTAGGGCAGTACACGGGCGAGACATAAACTTTATGTTATAATACATGGGCCCTAACTTCCTAATGATGAACTGGGTGCGACAAGGGAAAAGGGGGTGGGGGTAGTTTAATGAATGTAACGTAATTTTTTTTTTATCAATAAACATAAACTAAGGAAATATATTGAATTTTTTTTTATAAATGTTGCTTTAATAAAATAATGTAAAAGACGAATTTTATGACAGTATCATAAAAGATGGGGGATAAAAAACCGTATGAATTAGGTATTGAGACATATATGGAAAACCTAAAAGACTGGACAGATTTTATATATATATATATATATATATATATATATATATATATATATATATATATATATATATATATATATATATATATATGGCAGTGTAAATAGGCACGGTCAGGGCAAAATTAACAAGTAATACAACGCCCGAACATAAAAAATGTCACCTACTGCCTCTCTACCCGGATCTTACCTGCGCCCAACGTGTAATTCGATCAGAAAACACACCTAATAGTTGACATCCTATTCCCTTGTTGATTTCCCAACGGCTTGACATATTTTGTAGAAGTGCACACGGCTCGTACTTCAGTTTAGCTTCATAACTGCGACTAGGTTGGTGTGAGGTCCATTGGAAGTTATCATGGGAAAGATAAAAGTGTTTGAACTTAATTTTGACAACCCTGAAGGTGTCTACACCACTGGGTGTGTAATACGGGGCAATGTTGTGTTGGAGTTGAATGAACCTATGACATGTAGAGGTTAGTTTTATAGAATTTGTTTTTAATTAAGTTTTTCATCATTGTAATCTCAATGTTGTGTTGGAGCTGGTTCAACCTATGATATGTAGAGGTCAGTTTTATAGAATTCGTTTTTTAATTAAGTTTTTCATTATTTTAATCTCAATGTTGTTTTGGAGTTGAACGAACCTATGACATGTAGAGGTCAGTTTTATAGAATTCGTTTTTTTAATTAATTTTTTTATCATTTTAATCTCAATGTTGTGTTGGAGTTGAATGAACCTATGACATGTAGAGGTCAGTTTTTTACAGTTCGTATAGGGAACTTATTTAATGAATGTTTTCATCATTTTAATCTAACATGCCTAGAATACTACTTAGCTTCAGCAAATTGTTTCAACAACGCTTTCCTATGATTATTATCAAGGTTATTTCTTTTTTTTAAATTTTTTTTGTCATTCATGACAAAAATACTTAATATCATTTTCGTGAGCTCTTAATTACATATAATAATCTCATTATTTTACACTTGTTTTTTTTTAATTTTAAATCACACGTTTTTTTTGCATTTGTTTCTGGCTCTTATGTTTACTTATATGTATATGTCACGCTGCTTTACGTGTTTATGTGACCGTTATGTTTTCCCACTCCGCTGGGTCTCTGCCCTACGTAAAAACTACAAAAACATGTTTGTAGGCCTTGAACCTGTTATACTGGCCAGCTGTCAGTATACCCACTTTAGCGTCATGTTAGGTTCTCGTGGGGAGTGGTTGTTCTGACGTGAAGTATTTTGTCTGAAATATTTCGTCCTGTGATAAATATCACTGAGATCTTTTGTCATCTAATGAGATATTATATATATATATATATATATATATATATATATATATATATATATATATATATATATATACAAACTTGTTGATGTTGTTTTTTAATTTTCTCCTTATAAGCTTAATAAGCATTAATGATACGTAATCTTTTATCAACAGTTAAAACAGATTAAATTTACATTCCAAAAGAGGCGTAGCGACCCATTCTGGCGCCCGGGGCAAAATAAAAACTTCGCCCACCCCCATTTTTTGTATCGTTATTTACATTATCATAGGCAAAAAGTGCCCCCCCCCCCCATCCCCAGTTAGGAAAGGTCGGGAGCGCTTTTTACCAATGACTGTCCTTCAATAGTTTTATGTTGGTGTCACACAATTGATGTAGAAAACAGATAAATAAACCCGCCAAAACGTAGTAACTGCTTATTTACTTGAGATGTGTATAATTTAACAATGCAGCTAAAAATGAGCTTTTCTTAATTTTTTTTATCCCGTTCGGCACCCAAAATACGTACAAAACTAATATTTGACTTGTTATAAACACCAGTGTGACTGATGCCTCTCTGAGGTCGGCCGCCCCACCAGCCCTCCCCCCCCCCCCCCTTAGCTTCGCCCAGCTATTGAACCTCCAGGTTACGTGTGCATTTTTAACTGCAGGGATGTACATTTTCTTAACAGTCATCAGAATATTAATGAAATAAACCATTAACTTAAACCATTTCAAAAACTGTTTATGTTTTAAATTCTTTTCCAGGAATCACGCTACGTTTTAAAGGAAAATGTAAAGTCAGATGGAGTGAAGATAAAAGATATTACGTAGGCACGGAGCGGTATATTGACGATACAATTATTCTGGCTGGAATATGTAAGTATATTTACACTCAATCAATCAATCAGTTAGTCATTAATATGCATCACACTGAAAAAAGAAAATCTCTCTTCTATATATATATATTTATCTTCATGGGGACCATAGAAAACACCACTGTTGTCACGATTAAGAATGTTGCTAATCTTTTATTTTAATTTACAAAAAGTAGCGTAGCGAGGGGGGTGGGGGCGGGGGGGGGGGGCAACATATTTCCCCGGGCGCCGACCATAGGGGGCGCCAAAATGGGTTGGAAAAATAAATTGAAAGGTTGAGGGGGTGCAAATTGAAAGTTTGGGGGGGATGCAAATCTAAATCTTGAGGGGGGGGGGGGGGGGTGCAAATCGAAAGTTTGAGAGGGGGGGGGGGGTGCAAATCGAAAAGTTTGTCCCCGGGCGCTAACGCCTCTGCCCCAGTGGGTGTTATGTAACTTACGAATAATTCTTTTACTTACGCTCATTTCAATATTCAAACCATCTGATTGTTTCTATATCCTCCATCCAGTACCCTCACAAGGCTTTTCTGAACTAGAAATACCAACAGGCATCAACACGTTTCCATTTGAGTACCAGCTCTATCCCGGAGTTCCTGCCTCGTTTCTAGGATGCGCTGGCTTCGTCAAGTACTGGGCAAAGTGCTCAATCGATTTTCCTATTCGAGTGAACAAAACTGTCAAAAAACCATTTCAAGTCATTGGTTATCTAGACTTAAACAGGATACCTTCAGTTCGGGTAAGTTTTAAGTAACGGTATTTGGGTCTTGATTTTTTTAAACGTAAGATATTTTATTGTAGAAGTTTATAGTTAATGTTCAAATAATAAAATAAAGACCTTTTTTTTTAAATATTACTGAATTACGATTGATTTTTCGAAACTAATCAGGATTTTTTTGGGTGCTTGCTACTTTAACTTTCTGTTAAATTGATTTCTTGATTTCCGAAATTCAAATTTTGTTAATGCCTAAATCACTGAACAATTCTCGCCTGAAAATTTGATTATTTCTGGTATCATGCAACCAATTAGTAAAGTTGGTCAATCGCTATTATAAGTCAATTCGAATAAGGATAAGATCTTTTATAAATATAAATAAAATAAGTATATAAAATATATACATTGGTCAAATATAAATAAATAAATAAATATATATATATATATATATATATATATATATATATATATATATATATATATATATATATATATATATATATCTTATATATAAACAGCACGGTTACAATTATAGTTTAGGGTGTATGATTTATTTTTCTAAGCATACGTCAATCCTATTACAAATCGTATACTCTCTTTCCACTTTTTACATAATAAATTTGTTTTAAAAGGTTCAAGACACAAAAGAGAAACACCTGTGTTGCTGTTGCTGTGCAACTGGCCCCATCAAGGCCACTTTTAACATCGAGAAGAACACCTTCGTCCCTGGTGAGGCCATCAAACTCTTTGCTGAAATCCACAACGGCTCCTGGAGACGAATCAGCAAATCATACGTCTCAATAAAAATGGTAGGTGGTAGAAAACAATAATAATTGATGAGGCGATAGTTGAAGCTGTTTTGATAGTTGTATACAAGCATGTATGATAGTTGTATACAAGCATGTATGAAGGGCTCGTGGTGATTTGTATATTTTGAGATAGGCAAAGTGCGGCAATTCACAACTAGCTTGAACAATTTGACACACGACTAATTAGGGGCAGCACTCTAGGGAGATATTAGCACCTGTAGAAAGCGATCACTAATGATAGTCAAGCAGTTCATTTTTTATTTTATTTTTCTTAAACTATGTAAAATTAAACATCTCTTGTATTTCCGATTATGTTCTACACGATCATATTAATAAATTAGCAGCTGTGTATAGTCAAATAGATGGGATACATCAAAGTAAAATTGTTTTAATAACAGTCTTGTTACTCTTGTACAGCTCTACACGTATAACGTGAAAGGAAACATCCGAGAATTTTGTAAAGAGATCGCCAAGGTAACACGACCTGGGATAGCCCCACACGGTAGCGATGTCTGGTCAGGTGAGGAACTTGTGGTCCCACCTACTCCACCTTCCTTTCTACCTGGCTGCAGCATCATCGACGTCAAATACACAGTACAGGTACGGATAATTCCATTACAACTCTACAAACAGGCTTTTGTTTTTGCTTTTACGGACAAGTTTTCCTATTAGCAGATGGAGCATGAAAACCTTAGTTTTTAAAATGTGTGGAAGGGTGCATTACCCTCAATAATTATAACTAATAGACTAGGTAACTACCGCATTTTAAAATATAAGTTATTGAATTAAAGAGATAATTGAAATAATACATGTTTTGCAAAACATTCTATACTGAGTAGATAGTTTAAGATTTCAACAGTTTAATATAAAGGAAAATATTTTTGTTCTCTACATTAAGCTAAGTGTAGATCCTTCAGGACCAAGCCTCGATTTGAATATCCCACTGGACATTATCATTGGGACCATCCCAAAGGCCACAACTCTGCAACCAGTTGGGCTCGCTAGTTTGCTGTTTGGTGATTCGGCTTTCATAACACCACAGCAGGCTTTAGATCTAGGTAAGTTTGGTATCATAACACCACAGCAGGCTTTAGATCTAGGTTAAGTTTGGTATCATAACACCACAGCAGGCTTTAGATCTAGGTAAGTTTGGTATGATAACACCACAGCAGGCTTTAGATCTAGGTAAGTTTGGTATCATAACACCACAGCAGGCTTTAGATCTAGGTAAGTTTGGTATCATAACACCACAGCAGGCTTTAGATCTAGGTAAGTTTGGTATCATAACACCACAGCAGGCTTTAGATCTAGGTAAGTTTGGTATCATAACACCACAGCAGGCTTTAGATCTAGGTTAAGTTTGGTATCATAACACCACAGCAGGCTTTAGATCTAGGTAAGTTTGGTATGATAACACCACAGCAGGCTTTAGATCTAGGTAAGTTTGGTATCATAACACCACAGCAGGCTTTAGATCTAGGTAAGTTTGGTATCATAACACCACAGCAGGCTTTAGATCTAGGTAAGTTTGGTATCATAACACCACAGCAGGCTTTAGATCTAGGTAAGTTTGGTATCATAACACCACAGCAGGCTTTAGATCTAGGTAAGTTTGGTGTCATAAAACCACAGCAGGCTTTAGATCTAGGTAAGTTTGGTATCATAACATCACAGCAGGCTTTAGATCTAGGTAAGTTTGGTATCATAACACCACAGCAGGCTTTAGATCTAGGTAAGTTTGGTGTCATAACATCACAGCAGGCTTTAGATCTAGGTAAGTTTGGTATCATAACTCCACAGCAGGCTTTAGATCTAGGTAAGTTTGGTATCATAACTCCACAGCAGGCTTTAGATCTAGGTAAGTTTGGTATCATAACACCACAGCAGGCTTTAGATCTAGGTAAGTTTGGTATCATAACACCACAGCAGGCTTTAGATCTAGGTAAGTTTGGTATCATAACACCACAGCAGGCTTTAGATCTAGGTAAGTTTGGTATCATAACACCACAGCAGGCTTTAGATCTAGGTAAGTTTGGTATCATAACACCACAGCAGGCTTTAGATCTAGGTAAGTTTGGTATCATAACACCACAGCAGGCTTTAGATCTAGGTAAGTTTGGTATCATAAAACCACAGCAGGCTTTAGATCTAGGTAAGTTTGGTATCATAACATCACAGCAGGCTTTAGATCTAGGTAAGTTTGGTATCATAACACCACAGCAGGCTTTAGATCTAGGTAAGTTTGGTATCATAACACCACAGCAGGCTTTAGATCTAGGTAAGTTTGGTATCATAACACCACAGCAGGCTTTAGATCTAGGTAAGTTTGGTATCATAACACCACAGCAGGCTTTAGATCTAGGTAAGTTTGGTATCATAACACCACAGCAGGCTTTAGATCTAGGTAAGTTTGGTATCATAACACAACAGCAGGCTTTAGATCTAGGTAAGTTTGGTATCATAACACCACAGCAGGCTTTAGATCTAGGTAAGTTTGGTATCATAACACCACAGCAGGCTTTAGATCTAGGTAAGTTTGGTATCATAACACCACAGCAGGCTTTAAGTCTAGGTAAGTTTGGTATCATAACACCACAGCAGGCTTTAGGTCAAGGTAAGTTTGGTGTCATTACACCACAGCAGGCTTTAGATCTAGGTAAGTTGGGTATGACGACACCACAGCAGGCTTTAAATCTAGGTAAGTTTGCAATTTCGTTGAGTAATTCAGTAATTTTAAAACACACCAGAAAGTTGTAGATCTAGGTACGGTTCAGACAACACCACAGCAGGTTAGAGAACTAGAGGTATTAAAGTTTGGGTAAATTTGATGACTGCTCTCAAAACATTATGGTAGCTTTCTACCTTGGACTGTTTAACAGCAATGAAAGTAAAAATATCGAGTTGAAGGGTGATAACTCATAGTCCGAGACTATACAAATTTTGACATCTACTATTAACTACAAACACGATATAGTGAATTTTTAAACGACAATTTTTGCCATTAGAAGTTAAATTAGATTGATGAATACATTTGTTTTTGGCTGTTTAAGACCAAAACTTAAAATATGTATTTACGATTAACGTGTTGAAAAGTGTATATTAAAGATGAACAATTACTTTTCTTTTCCTAGTAATCCTATCAGCACTACTAAAGAGTGGAGATACAGGGACAAGTAACTTCGTTGCAGACAGCAGTACATCCTAATATGTGTTCATTTCAAAGTTTTACTTTCTTTTTTCAATAAAAAGACGCCTATTTATTTTTAATGTCAGATTAATGTAATATATTGTGTTAAAAACATTCAAGAAATCTTTTCTATCCATAAAATGATTTTTTGGGATAGTTGTCTAAATTTGTTTTTATTGTTTAACAGTACTTATTTTGATATTGTCATTTTTGTTACTATATTTTATTAAAAAATAATATTTATTGACATTTTTTTTATATAATTGTATTTTCATTTTATTTATCCTTTCAATATATTTTGACCTATGTTTTAATAAAATTCAAGATTGATTGAAATCTTTGGTTCAATAATTGTTTTTGCATTTTATGTATCCTGACGGATATACATTTTTAATTTTAAACATTTAATAATCAACAAAGAATCACGGCTTATGTAATGTTGTTTTAGCTTTTGCTACAACTAATCATGTCCTGATGGTAAACTTTACAGTAATAATATAACCGTCCCCCCCAAAAAAAAAACAAAAACAAAAAACAATCATTAATTTATCTAATGCATTTTATTAGATATACTTAATAATCTGTGCAGACAACAAACTCCAGATAAAAATTCGCCATTGATATGGAGACTTCAGCTCTACTTCACCTGCTACAACGACAGACTAACCAAGAAACCTCTCAGATACTTTTAAGATCTAAGAGGTTTTTTTTTTGTTAGTCGGTCGTCTACTATGGTTCGGCATGGTCGGATTGTAGAGCGCACTACTATTAACTCGAACGTGTTTAGTTCGGAATCCCGGAATCGAGACCTTATGACGTCCTTGATCTACCCATCTCTAGTTGGTACCTGTCTCACGATAAGGTATGTAATGGCGGCTGGATCTAGTGCTGACCACATTAACCTTTCATATGCCGTGGTCATGGAAAATACGAAATCTACATTGCATTTTCTTTTTGTCGTTGACTTTGACAAATAGAACATTCAGATCAGCCTGAATGACCACACAGCTTATCACACCAAGGCGCAGCATTATCTTATGTTTGCTATACATATTGTAGCTTGAGAAATTAGTCACTGTTACATTCAAAGCATTGACTAACACATCTAAATTTAGTCTAAAGATAGAAACATAATTAGTGTTCGGGGAAGATTCTATATCCAGTTCTAAAATTAATAAAAAGACTGGGGAAAAACATAAGCTCATTTTTGTTGTTTGTAAACCACTTACACAATGAGCTGACCTAAAACAGAACACTTTACTTTACAGCAGAGAATTTTCTTCAATTTCCCAATGCGGCAATGCAGAATTTACATCATCGTCATCATCATTGCTGTGGGCCCCTTGTAAGGAATACGGACGCAACCATCATTTCCCGTTCTAAGCAAATTTGGTTTAAATTCAAATGAAGATTCGTCAAGGTATCATAGAGGGGGGGGGGTGTATTTTAAATAATGAACCGAGAAGAAATTGTGAATTCTAAAATGGCAAAGGGTTTCCTTGTCGGGTTTAAAAGGTGGGGGGGGGGGTCGCTAAATAATGCTTATATTATATATTATATTTGATATAATAGTTATATATGAAATTTCATCAACCTAGCTGTAACGGTACTCAAGTTATTGTGTTAACAAACATACACACAAAGACACACACAATGAACTAATTGCAAAACCCAGTTTTTCCGACTCGATTACGCTTAAAAAACCGAAACTTTGATAAATCTGGATTAATAATTTTTCCCGATTAAAATAAGTGCCCTATACTCCGTATATGATGAAGTACTGAGGTGTAAAACGGTGAAAACTGTCAAAATATCTTGTGGTTTTTGTGCACGATTAAAATACTTCCTCTATACTCTGTATACGAGAAATTAAAAACAAAAACAAAAGCTTCTTAACGTTGTTTATATAGTTGATCAAGGTACATTTATATATAGATGTACACATCTTGTCCAGTTGTTTTTATTTATTTTCTTACTGGCAATTTAAAAGCTTATTATTATATTTTTAAAAATTTGTTTTATTTAAAAATACACTTGTTCTGCAATTCGCCGGTAATACGGCACGTTTACAGTAGTTTAAAATAAAATATTCTGGTTTTTTTTTTGTAAACATTTAAATATAAGCTTACAGGAGCTAACCTTTTGCGAGAGTTTGAAGCACAGCAGTTAACAACACATCATATCTAAAAATCGTATTATTAACTCAACAGTAGGCATATATTATACAAGCAGCCTGTATGTAGTCCAGACAATGCCGAAAGCTTGAATCCGGTTCTTTTGTCAGTGCGCCAGATATTGTCACAACACACACGGTGCGACTCTACAGCTCTCAACTGTCGCCATGGGCAAGCCGACGGTGTTTGAGATAAGTTATGACCAGCCTGATGGGGTGTATAGCTCTGGTAGTAAAGTGAGCGGCTATGTCCGGCTGGCTTTTGATGCGCCAACACAGATTAGATGTAAGTTTTGTACTTCTTAAGTAATGGTCAACACGGGTTAGATGTAAGTTTTGTAACTCTTAAATTGGGGTCGTCACAGCTTACAGGTAAGTTCTGATTCCCTCAAATAGGGGAGTATCCATCTTTTACTTATTGTGCATTATAATATGATAGATATATGTAGCATACCTATGTGTTATATTTTTATAATAGAATGTTGGATATTTATACGTTTGTGTTGCTAGTTGCACTATGTGTTTATATTTTACATTCAAATGTTACACCGTTTGACATTATTTTTCTTAATTTGTAGCATTATCATTAGGATATTTGTTTAAACACGAGAAATAGGCAGGGTTGGTAGCTAAAATGATAAACAAGTTCATGATTAGGTTCAGATAAATGATACAAATGAATTTTCATCAAATTATTTATGAAATTATTGCTTTAGAGGCATTCTAAATTAAACGACTCAAGTTCCTTTATTTTTTATTAAAGTTGTGGGCGGCTCCTTAGATTTCATTTTAATTTCATCATTTTAAAACAAATATGTAAAAGTTCAAACTAATTAATACACCGCCATCAACCTGCGTTACTTGGTGTGTCGTGTCTACGCTTACAGAAGGAAGTGTATTGAGAGTTGTTCAATGGTGGAAAGACGTGTGTAATGCATTCTAAATATAGCTATAACTTGACGCAACGATGCATACAGTGTATGCCTGCTATTTTGTTTACCTACAATCTTTACACCTACTGTCATAGTTTCACTGCTGTTGTAGACATATTAACCGTTTCGTTTCCTACCGTAAGTGATGTGTTTCATCAACAAAAGTTTACAATACATTTTGAAACATTTTCTACAAATGTTGACAATACATTTTAAAACATTTTCTAAAAATGTTTACAATACATTTTAAAACCTTTTCTATAAAAGTTTACAATACATTTAAACATTTTTTATACAAATGTTTACAAAACATTTTAAAACCTTTTCTATAAAAGTTTTAATACATTTTAAAACATTTTCTACAAATTGTTACAATACATTTTAAAACATTTTCTACAAATGTTTACAATACATTGTAAAACCTTTTCTATAAAAGTTTGCAATGCATTTTAAAACCTGTTCTACATAAGTTTATAATACATTTTAAAGCAATTCCTTATTTATTTTGTAAATCAAATTTTATTTTGTAATATAGGGCCTACATTTTTATTAATTTTATTTTAACTGAATCACCCTCATACCATTTACATTGACTTCATTGCAAGCTTTTTTTTGGATACCTTCACGGGATCTTAGATGTGTGGTTTTGATCGGTCATGTCAACTTTAGTGTGCATTGAAATGTGTTGGTCAGTTGGCAATTGGTCAAATGGCAGTGTGCTATTTCTATGTGCATACTTGACTTATATTTATTTCACAACTACTTTTAGCAGATCTATTCTGATGAGGTTACTCTCATAAACTATATTTAAGGCAGTTTGGCATCCTTCTTTGTGCTAGGTAATTCTCAATTAGATCTATGAATAAAAATCAAAAGTATTTTCTGGGTTTGTCCTTTATGCATGACTACATATTTCATCCAATCGCCATAAAACTTTGGAGAGTTTATAAGAATACTTTCAGGAGGTTTTCTACACAAAAAAGTTCTATTTCGGCCCCAATGGCTTACAAGTTCCCCTGAAGACTCAAGAATGAAAATAAGGAATATTAAAGAATTTATTCCGAGGAACTAACCGGCCATAGATTAATTTGCAAAAAAAAATTAACTTGGCTGATTCCATTTGTTGAGTTTTCTAGTACTTTTAATATATTTAGTGTAAAGATTATTTCCATTTTAAAATACAGTTATTATAATTTTTTTAACTAGGTTAAGTTTAGGAGTAGGAGTTAACCGGGTTTAGGGCTTATAATAGATATTTATATTTTTTTAATCAAATCCTTTTTAAACTTTCACTTAGGCTTCCTAGTAAAATATGTATCTTAATTTGACAGTGTCTATAACAGATAGTTCATGCCAATGCTCTTTAAAGACTTAGTTATCAGATAAAATAGATAATCCCTCTACTGTACATGTTTGCCAAACTTTAATACTAACACTGTTTTCTACTCAGCAATTAGCATTCGGTTTAAAGGCAGAGCTAAAATTCGGTGGACTGATGTGTCCGTTAAGAAATTGTTTATTACCACAGAACCATACTTTGATCAGACGCACATGCTTCTGGGTGCTGGTAAGTGTAAAGCATATTTTTGTATTAGTAGTACGCTAAAGAGAACGTGGACGATTGTTCGAAATCCTAAGGGGAAAAAAATTATTTCCCCGCAAGCTGTGAATGGGTGGGGGGGGGGGGGTGGAGGCTATGTAATATAGAACAGTTGATATGCGGAGACGTTGTGGTGAGGCGGGAGAGCGTATGATTGTTTACTTCAAAAGGCCTGAGTTCGAATCTCACGGAAGATGAGGTTTGTTAGCTAGAGAAAAACAACCAATGAGTCTACTAGAGCAAATTCCAAAATTAAAATAAAAAAACTGCAGCCTTGCAGATTGTCTTTGGTAATGAACAAGCCAATTTAAGCAAATCCAGAAAAAGAGGTGGGCTGTGATCAATAGGCTATTTAACGCATACACTGTTGACGCGTAATACTTAATTGTGTTGAAGGACATCCCCTACAATATTACAATTTGAAAACGAAGAAGACGAAATAGAAGTTAATATAGATCTGTTCAAGTAAATTTTGTGTCAGATCAGATAAAACGAATGATTTTTTTCTTTTTTTTTTTTCTAATACTTATTTTGCATAACGTTTCATTTACATTCCGTCCAGCGCCATTCAATACCCTAATTGACTACGACCTACCCAGGGGACTCCATTGTTTTAAATTTGAGTACCAGCTTCCTCTCGGTCTCCCGTCATCATTTTGTGTGTCAAAGGATGGCTGTAAAGTGGAGTACCTGGCAGTGTGTACCGTCGTGTGGCCTGGAAGATCGAAGAAAAAGATGAAATTGTCATTTACTGTCATTGGTTGTCTTGATCTGAATAGGTTTATATCAATGAGAGTAGGTTTGTTTCATGTACTTGTATATTTGAAAAAAATATTTTCGAATTCATTACAGAAAAGTCTAATATATAAAAGCCAATGTGCGCACTTCTCTCTATCTCTCTCTCTCTTTCTTTCTCTCTCTCTCTCTCTCTATCTCTCTCTCTCCGTCCGCAACATATTTTCCGATGCTATGAGATCATTATTAAAAAGAACACAAAAAAATAATGACGTCACATAATTAAATTACGGAAAGTACACAAAACTAATGACATTATTCATTTTAGGATAAAAATAACATTGAACATCGAATCAGTGTTTTTTTCAGACTTTTTCCTCGGTGTGGGGGGGGGGGGCACTGGTAAAAGTATATTTTTATACATATTTTTTAATATATAAATTCCATTTTGTTTTGTGGGAGAATGCGGGGGAGGTAGACTTTCTTTTAGGCGGAGGGACTGAATAGATGCCTTGAAGAAACTCTGCATCGAATGTCGAAAATCTTACATAATACTAATGACGTCATCTTCAATAAAATTCACTTCACACATCTTCCAATTTTAAAATATGAAGAAATGAACTATTTCATTAAAATTTGATTTAAATCTTTTGATCTACTTATCAAGACGTACGCCATAAAATGTATACAATTTTTTAAGACAAAAAACAAACAACAAATTAGTTTGAAAACCAACAGAAATATTATTGAATAGTCGAGCTTTTAACGGAATCATTTAAGTCACTAAATCAGTGTGGGTATTAAAAATTGTGTTGTGTTATTTTAAATGTGTTGGAGTTTTAGCTATTTAGTTATTTGTTTGCTTTGTCACTAATATCGAAAAGCACATTGCGTTTTTACCAATACCTATTTCATAAAATATATTTCTCAAACAAATATAAAATTTTTAAAATATATATATTAAAGACACATGTTTTTATGGATTTAATTGTAAGATTTTGTAGTCTTTATGAGATGTCTTCACTTGTTTTCATGATACTGCGTTGATTTCGTTAAAGCAAGAGGGCAGGAAAGAGCAACAGGTGTGCTGTTGTTGCTGTGCAACTGGCCCCATCAAGGCCAGGTTTCACATTGAGAAGAATACCTTCGTCCCTGGAGAGGCCATCAAACTCTTTGCTGAAATCCACAACGGCTCTGGGAGAATCAGTCAGACATTCGTTTCTCTAAACATGGTATAATTTAGTTTGATGGATGGATGGATGGATGGGTGAATGGATGGATGGATGGATGGATGGATGGATGGATGGATGGATGGATGGATGGATGGATGGATGGATGGATGGATGGATGGATGGATGGATGGATGGATGGATGGATGGATGGATGGATGGATGGATGGATGGATGGATGGATGGATGGATGGATGGATGGATGGATGGATGGATGGATGGATGGATGGATGGATGGATGGATGGATGGATGGATGGATGGATGGATGGATGGATGGATGGATGGATGGATGGATGGATGGATGGATGGATGGATGGATGGATGGATGGATGGATGGATGGATGGATGGATGGATGGATGGATGGATGGATGGATGGATGGATGGATGGATGGATGGATGGATGGATGGATGGATGGATGGATGGATGGATGGATGGATGGATGGATGGATGGATGGATGGATGGATGGATGGATGGATGGATGGATGGATGGATGGATGGATGGATGGATGGATGGATGGATGGATGGATGGATGGATGGATGGATGGATGGATGGATGGATGGATGGATGGATGGATGGATGGATGGATGGATGGATGGATGGATGGATGGATGGATGGATGGATGGATGGATGGATGGATGGATGGATGGATGGATGGATGGATGGATGGATGGATGGATGGATGGATGGATGGATGGATGGATGGATGGATGGATGGATGGATGGATGGATGGATGGATGGATGGATGGATGGATGGATGGATGGATGGATGGATGGATGGATGGATGGATGGATGAGTAAAGATATAACATATCAACGCGTTAATGGCGCCGTAACGCCGGATCGTGAGGTGGATGTGTTTTTACTTTCAACTTTTAACCTTTAACAGCCAATTCACAATGGGGAAATTAATTGTTCTATATATTATAATATACGTATATATATATATATATATATATATATATATATATGTGTGTGTGTGTGTGTGTATATATATAGCGGTCAACGATAAACTTTTTAAACAGCATTACTCTTCGAATTACGACCGAGAGAAGCATATCTCTTCGAAAGAGGTTACCAGGGTAACAAGACCTGGCATAGCACCATACGAGACCGATGTCTGGTCTGGTGAAGAACTCGTTATTCCACCAACTCCGCCGTCCTTTCTTCCAGGTTGCAATTTGATTGACATCCAGTACTTTTTGGAGGTAAATCTAGTCACATTATGGTGTTTCACATTTTATTTATACATTTTTTAAATTTAAATAATAATATACTAGCATTGGACAATATGCATAAAAAAGAAGAACCCACATGAATATTGAAATCTGAAAAAGCATTTTCTTTCTTTTTCCCTGTCTGTCACCCTTGTTGTGTTTTATTTTGTATTTATTTTTTTAAATTCACTTATATATATATATATTTATATATAGTCTATAATCTTGTACCACAGATTGCAGGCGGGGGTCGTCTAAAAAATTGACTATTGGCCAGTGGATTTTGACCAGCTCAAATAGATCCTGGAATTTTTAGAATATTATTTTTCAATGTAGGAAATGGATTTTATTTAGGCATTTATCTATTAAAATGTGTATCTGTACAACCAATGATGATGGTTTATTTCAAGTTTAGAGTAAGCTAAATCTACTAAATGGATAATGAAATCTATTTTAAAATATTTCGTTTTAAATGGGTTTTTTTTTTCCAAATAGCTGTTTATTTATTTCCATTTGTTTTTACTTTTTATGCATAAGCTGTTGATCATCAGTTTAATGGACGAATCGATATTTTGTTTCACGCACCAAATTGTTTGATACTTTGAAAGTCTGCAACTTATTACTAGGAGGATGATTTCTTTTGTTTAGCGATAGAATCCTCCAAAGAGTGACGGGAAGCCATAGGCCTAGCTAAGGGAGTTGGGGTGGTGCGGCCGCCACGGTGCCAACATTAGGGAGACGCCGAACGAGGTAGAAAAAAATTAATTTAAATACTCGTTTTGAGCTGCATTTCTTTATTATACAGAGTCAAAGTTAAGAAAATATTCTGCTATTCGTTACTTGGCTTTACTGGTTAATTTAAATGTTTTTTTACATCAATTGTGTGATACCAACAAAAAACCAGTTAAAGGGGCAGTGACTTTCGCTATTTTGGAAAAGTGAATAACTGCACAAATGGGGGTGCGCACAGTTGATAGTTCGCCCCGGCCGCCGTAATAGGTCGCTACGCCCGACGGGGGGAAGCTATAGCATTTTTGGAGGGTTTGGGCTTTTAAGTAGAGCTGACAGGCAAGCTTAATATTACATAATATTATTTCAAAACACCTGTCTAGGTAAGAATGAGATTCAAAAATCAATAATGTATTAATTATTAGGGATTTGGGTACTATACGAGTTATCTATATTGAATATATATATTTTTTGATGATTTTTATATTATTTAAATAATTTACTATTTTGCCAGGGAAAAAAAGATCTTCAAATATTAAAAACTTTTGACGCAATTTATGTATTTTGTAGACAATATTTAACGTGCAAATTACTAATATAGCGGGAGTAATCTCCCATAAAATCTCTCGTATGTTAGTATGTAGGCTTATATATGAAACGCTGTAATAGTTTTTGTGTTGATACACACATACACAAACACACACACACACACACACACACACACATATATATATATATATATATATATATATATATATATATATATATATATATATATATATATATATATATATATATATAAGTATATGCTTTAAAATGCACTGAAGGAAAGGAAATAACACTTTCTTTCTTTAATAAAATATTTTTTGCTCATGAAACCTCTTACACATTTTAGCGATGAAAACTTTTACTAAAGTTTTTTGTTCATGTATCTTTTTTTTTTATATTCAGTGAATAGGCTTGAAAAGCTGATTTCAAACGGTTCCAAACAGTTGTTGCCAGAAAGCAAATTTTTAACTAAAATTGAATATTTTATAGCATTTAATTTTTGAAATAAATACAAAATGGCTTCCGGTTTTATTAAGGCTAGAAATATTCAAACAAATAATTACTAATAATATAGTAGTAATTTAGCTACCATTTTTATTTTGAATTTTGATGAGTAGTCAGGTTGTTGTGGCGATAGGGGAATGTTATATTATTTAATCTAAATAAACTACTACGCTATACCCCATTCACCGCTATTGTGTATTTTGCCATGGGAAATAACTGTTGTTATTTTCATTGTTTCACTTTCCATGTACACTCCCGTTATATTCATGTAGGTGTTGAGGGAGTTTTTTTAAATGTTTAAAATTGATCAAAATTATTTTTAACGGCTTATCTTCAATATGAAAATATGAAAATAAAAGTAATCGATAGTTCCCAAATAGCTTTATTTTTTTTAAAATGTAACTACTATAATTTTATCAATTGCCATTCTTTTTACTTTCTCGAATATACGAAGTATAGAGAAAGTCTTGTAATCGTGCAAAAAAAAATCGAGATTTTTACAAATCTCGACGTTTTACACCTCACTGATACGGAAAAACATAATTTTGCAATCTTGTCCGTATGTCTGTGTGTCTGTGTGTGTGTCTGTCTGTCTGTCTGTCTGTGTGTCCGTGTAAACACGATAACTTGAGTATCGTTACAGCTAGGTTGATGAAATTTCATATATAAGTATTTTATCAAAATCGTAGATCCGTATCAACTTTTGAGCGATTTCCGATAACCGGAAGTGGTACTTTTCCTACTTTGAATTTTTCAAAAGCCTATAACTTGAGTACTATTTCAGATAGATAAATGAAATTTCACATGTAAGTAAATGATCTAATTCTCTACATTCTGTTAAATTTTGAGTAATTTCCGTTGACCGGAAGTAGTAATTTACGCTACTTCCGATTTCTCAAAAAACTTTTGTAAATTTTTAAAGTACTAATAATATTGCGCACTATTAATAGTTAATTAATTTGGCGTTCACTTGGTGTGCAATTAATTTGTCTACGTGATTTTATTCTATTTTTAAAACTTTAAGTTTTTAAAATGGATTAAAAATCATGTCTATAGCCCGAGTTCCCATCCCCTGTTATTTTATATAAGAATATTCGAGAAAGTTTAGGGGAGATCACTCCCGGTTTATTTTAAAGATTTTTAAAAATTTGTATTATGATAACATAGGCTTTTCAAGCCTATTAAAAAGCTCATTATTATTAGTGTTATGTGTTGTTGTTGTTTCTTCACCTATTTATTTATTTGTTCAAAATAAAGTTTACACCACATAGTCTACGACTAAAAAGATTTGCTTTAAAACCCGGGCAGTAGCTTGCAACCAATAAAAGGCAATTATCTGCAGTTCTTAGTCAACGGTCCACTCCCCAGCAAGAAATCAGCCAGCTGTGACCAGCAGTTCACTTTCGACAGTTAGCTAATCGAGCTATCGCTTTAAACTTGTTATCTCCCTTTTATTATTGAATTTAGTGATTCTTAAATTAAATTTTTAAAGATTAACCTAATTGCTAATTAGATTAAAATGTAGATGTAATTGCATTGTCATTGAAGAATATCGTATCTAGAAAGATAGAACGAAATCGCAGATTACAAGTGATTTAAAATTGCGTTATAAGATCTGCCACAACCTACAAATAACACAAAAAAACCACAGACATTGTGAAGTAAACAGCTTATAAAAGTTTTTGAATAACAATGCAGTTTGAGAACCAATAACACACAACGTAAGCTGGCCTTGATAAACGCTTTCCTTCCGATAAATTCCCTTTATGTCGGTATGCGATTGTGCGTGATCCCCCACAGCTATGGAAGTCCCAAGTAAAAGGCCACTACATACATTTTATGTCATTATAAATCGTGATGTAGGTTCTGACTTTCTGATGATGAGCAACGTAATAGGTGGGGGGGGGGGGGGAGGAGGGGTTGGGATGACGTGTGGGTTTTATAAATGAGACTAACACGGGTGTTTTTTTTATTATTAAATATTAATGAATACCATGAAATAGGTTAATTTTCTTTAGAATTATGATTTTGTCGGATGATGTGTAGAAGTCGAACTTTGCATCGTCGTAACTTTGTGATTACTTGGGAAGAAAAATATGGGATAAAACGATTACAGCACAAAACATAAAAAATTTACTCACTCAAGCTTAGAAAGACATGCTTAACAACAAAAACTAGGAGAGAAAATCCAGAAAGCAGACTGAAATCGGAGTCAACGGCCTATATGGCGCTTAACATGTTAACTCGTAATATTACATTGGGATGTAGAAAATCCCTTCCAACATTACAATTAAACCCGAAATAAAAACAAATCAATAACCCAGTCACTCCAATCTGTTAACTGAATTCTTACTTAGCTCGTTTTGGACATTCTGCAATATTTAAAAAAAGCTTCAGTTTCAGTTTCTCAAACGTTTCAATCATTACCTTTAATACCTAGTAAAAACAAAAACATTAGTTCTGTATTCGATGGGCTAGCAAAGTAAAAATTTGAAACTGAAACGAATGCAATCAGTTAATTCCGGGTATGAATGTAACCTGACCTAGATTAGATGTCTCGCTTTGCTTGGGGACCACAGAGGCGTAGCTAGAGCAGGGCTGGTGGGGTGGAGGCCTCGGGTCACGACACCATGAAAAGGGCGCTAAAAGGTATATAAAGCATCTTGAATGCTTATTATAAAGAGTCGATGTATTCGTACTAAGGTAAAATATGTAGATTTTTTTAAAAATTAGTTCTTTAATTGATGCACACACACATATGTGTATATATGTATATATATATATATATATATATATATATATATATATATATATATATATATATATTTGTATATATATATATATATATATATATATATAAGGAGAGAGCTCAGAATTGATAGGTTATCCCGCTACGCCTCTGGTTGCCTACAGGTCTACACATTCCGCTTAGGGAAATTTGTATCCGGTTCTCTTTTCTTTACTGTCCCAGAATTTGTTTCGATATTTGGCCACACCTACGTTAACTCTACAGCTCTTGGCTGTCATCATGGGGAAGGCTACGGTGTTTGAGATAAGTTATGACCAGCCTGATGGAGTGTATAACTCTGGCAGTAAAGTGAGCGGCTATGTCAGGCTGGCTTTTGATGTGCCCACACGGGTCAGAGGTAAGTTTTGTATTTCTTAAGAAAGTGTCAACATGTGTCAGAGGTAAGTTTTGTATTTCTTAAGAAAGTGTCAACATGTGTCAGAGGTAAGTTTTGTATTTCTTAAGAAAGTGTCAACATGTGTCAGAGGTAAGTTTTGTATTTCTTAAGAAAGTGTCAACATGTGTCAGAGGTAAGTTTTGTATTTCTTAAGAAAGTGTCAACATGTGTCAGAGGTAAGTTTTGTATTTCTTAAGAAAGTGTCAACATGTGTCAGAGGTAAGTTTTGTATTTCTTAAGAAAGTGTCAACATGTGTCAGAGGTAAGTTTTGTATTTCTTAAGAAAGTGTCAACATGTGTCAGAGGTAAGTTTTGTACTTCTTAAGAAAGTGTCAACATGTGTCAGAGGTAAGTTTTGTATTTCTTAAGAAAGTGTCAACATGTGTCAGAGGTAAGTTTTGTACTTCTTAAGAAAGTGTCAACATGTGTCAGAGGTAAGTTTTGTATTTCTTAAGAAAGTGTCAACATGTGTCAGAGGTAAGTTTTGTACTTCTTAAGAAAGTGTCAACATGTGTTAGAGGTAAGTTTTGTACTTCTTAAGAAAGTGTCAACACGTGTCAGAGGTAAGTTTGGTACTTCTTAAGAAAGTGTCAACACGGGTCAAAGATACGTTGTGTACCTGCACGAATGACTCGATACAGGTGAGAGGTATGGTGTGAACCTCTTGACTAAAGGGTCATCGATCCTCAACTTCACCTACATTATTAACACGATGTATGTGTGTAGCCTTTATGTTTTATGTTTTAGATGGATATGTGCAGCCTATCCATATGTTATATATTATTACAACGTGAAGGATTTGTATACCAATGTGTTAAATGCTGTGTACTTCGTTTTTATTTTGATATTTTCCAGTTAAACCCTGGCAGATAATATTTTATTTTCTAAATTGTAGATTGGGGGTTTCTTGGCTTCCTCTTTAAATCTTATTTGTCGCCCGTATTATAAAGTAAAAAACTAGTTTAACTAATGGCTATAACCACACTAAGACTTCGTAAACACAATTATACAATATACTAGCCGTCGGTACCCGTTACAATTGAACTATAGACCTATATATTTCAATGTTATACATGTTTGAGAAAATATTTTATAAAATAGTTTTGGTCAAAACGCAATGTGCTTTACTACACGTTGAAGAATATTAGTGACAAAGCAAAGAAATTACTAAATAGCTAAAAATCCGACACATTTAAAATAACATAGGCTACCAATACCTATTAGAAACATTAAAACAAAATTATATACATTGTTATTCAACACAACACCATATTAAATGCACACACTGATTAAGAGACTTAAAGGATTCCGAAAAAAAATCGGCTATACAATGAACATTATGTTGTTTTTTTTAAGTAATTTGTATTAGATTGACCGAGAAAATTGTATAAATTTTATTGCGGACGTCTTGATACGTAGATTTATAGAATCTAGATCTAAATCATATTTGAATGAAATAGTTCATTTCTTTATATTCTAAAATCTGAAGATGACGCCATTAGTGTTCTGTTCTTTCCGTAGTAAAACATGTGGCATGTGACGTCATTGTTTATTAAGTTCTTGTCACAACTATATACACTTTTCCGGTTGCATAAATAAAATTGTTTTTCTACATTCGAATATGCCTTTATTTTTATTTTTATTATTTAAATAAAATTAAGGTTATACATTTAAAACATCTAACATATTATTTTTAACAAAAGTCCGTATCAAGTTCTCCATACATATATAGCTGAAGATACTGATTTGATATCCTACGAAAATATTTTGCGGACAGAGAGAGAGAGAGAGAGAGAGAGAGAGAGAGAGAGAGAGAGAGAGAGAGAGAGAGAGAGTGAGAAGTGTGCACATTGTCTTTTATATATTAGGATACCCTTACAGGATGTGTTATGTGAAAGCATACACAAGGAAGTGTATTGATTGTTGTAAAATAACAAACAGACCTGTGTAAGGCAGACTAAGTATAACTTGATCTAGACTCGAATTCAACTATGCATAGAATGTGTACCTGCTCGTATGTCTTTTACCTCCTTTGGCTTAGTGCCAATGCTATTATATCAAGCGTTTTTGTTTCCTTTCCCGAATTACATCTTTTATCTGAAAAAGTATGCAAAGAATTCTATTATATTTCTGAATTTTGTAAATCATATTTTCCTTTCTAATGTAAAAATCCTGTTGTTTTATATATATATATATATATATATATATATATATATATATATATATATATATATATATATATATATATATACTGCATTAAAAAATTTAATAGATTTTTATTGCATTTTGAAAAATTCCTCAGCATTTTGTTTAACTTAAACTTCCTAAAAAAGTATTTATCCAGCTTTTACTAGATCTAACTGTCATTATTACTAAGACAGACTTATTCTGGATTCGAATAAAGTAAAGTAATCTACTTACCGCAGACATTTGCCAACCTTAACATTTACAACAACTGTTTTCTACACAGCTATTAGCATTCGGTTCAAAGGCAAAGCCAAAGCCAAGTGGACTCAGCCTGTAGGTGAATTGAATAGGAATACAAACGTTGTTGTTAGAGAACCATACTTTGACCAAACGTTCATGCTTATGGGTGTTGGTAAGTATAGGAATTATTTTAGACTTTTAGACTGGTGTTTCTATCGGGTATTTCTCCGGGTCTTGTGAGGGGGGTGGGTGGGGGGGTGGTAGACATCCACCGCCCCTAACCACATCCTCAGTATAAATAAAAATGTATATAATTGATATATAATAAATATGTTTTAACCTGTGTCCACCTCCTCCCACCCCTCCTCCCCACCCCCTACGAAAACAAAATGGAAAATTTTCTGTTTCGAACGTAATGGTACGTTGATGATAAATTGAATAATTTAACTTTCTCGTATATACGAAGTATAGAGAAAGTCTTGTATTCGTGCAAATTATTTTTTGCAAAACTCGACGTTTTACAGCTCCCTGAGTCGAAAAACATAGTTTTGCCATCTTGTTCGTATGTATCTGTGTGTGTATGGGTGTGTGTCTGTGTGTGTGTTTGTGTGTGTCTGTAAACACGATACCTTGAGCACCGTTACAGTTAGGTTGATGAAATTCCATATATAAATATTATATCAAAATCGTAGATCAGTATCAATTTTCGAGCGATTTCAGTTAACCGGAATTGGAACTTTTTCTACTTTGAATTTTTCAAAAGCCTATAACTTGAGTACTATTTCAGATAGATAAATGAAATTTCACATGTAAGTAAAAGATCTAATTCTCTACCTTCAGTCAAATTTTAAGTAACTTCTGTTGATCAGAAGTAGTAATTTTCGCTATTTCCGATTTCTCAAAAAACCCATGTACCAATACTATTCCGCACTATTATGCACATTTTAGTTGGCATTCACTTGGTGTGCAATTCTTTTTTCTACTAGATTTTATTTTATTTTAAAAAGTTTAAGTATTTACAATGGATTGAAAATCATGTCTATATCCCGAGTTCCCCATCACCCGTAGTGTTATATAAGAATATTCGAGAAAGTTTAGGGGAGAACACTCCCGGTTTATTTATTCTCCGATTGTTAAGAATATCATTTTTTGTAGAGCTTTGAATCTATCCTCTATGAATTATTTGATACACATTTAATTGAATACATTATGCATCAAGTGAAATCGATTTGTTCTTAATTTTCAATAGCGTTTGACGATGAAAAATAGTTATCCACGAAGCAGTGAGTGTTGTCTCTTAAAAATAGTTTTCATAAGCTTTTATTGTGTTTCGTTCAGCTCCACCGCTGGTCCAAATCGACCAAGAACTGCCAAGGGGACTCCATAACTTTAGATTTAACTACCAGCTTCCTCTCGGTCTGCCCTCGTCTTTTAAGGTGTATGATGGTAAAGTGGAGTACCTGGCAGTCTGTTACCTCATGTGGCCTGGAAGTTTGAACAAAAAGTTAAAAGTACCATTCACCATCATTGGTTTCCTTGATCTGAATCGGATTATGTCAATGGGGGTAAGTTTGGTATATGAGCCTCAGTGTTTCTTCCAGACTTTTTTCTCCGCGGAGGGGGCACTTGAAATTTTCGGGGGGGGGGGGGGCGGTGGTAGACTTTCTTCGGGGGGGGGGGGGGGTGGGCGGACACTGTTAAAAGTATATATTTTCTATATAAATTATATAAATTTCATTTCGTTCGGGGGGGGGGGGGGGCGGTAAAAAAATTCGGGGGGGGGGAGGGGGGGCTTGGCCCCCGAAGAGATGCCTAGAAGAAACTCTGATGAGCCTGTATGCGGATGATTAGCTTGTTCAAATTTTTATATAAAAAAAACAACAGAAAATATGTTATAGCTATGAAATACAGCAAGAAAATATGCTATACTTTATATATTTATAGCCATAGCGATAAAAAAATATGCGTCTAGTTATGTTAATGGTGTAAGCTTTCGACTTCACTAACCAATCTAGTGTACAGAGGCGTAGCGACCCTTCCCGGCGCACGGGGACAAACTTTCCATTTTCAAACCCCCTTCTCGAACTTTTCATTTGCACCCCCCACGCTCGAACTTTTCATTTGCACCCCCCTCACACTTTCAATGTGTTGTTCCAATCCATTTTGGCGCACCCCTAAGGTCGGCGCCCGGGGACATGTGTCCCGCCCCCCCCCCCTCGCTACGCCTCTGCTAGTGTATTTGTCTCCACGTTTCCCATCACGATATTGCTTTGATTTTTGTTAAAGCAAGAAGGAGCAGAAGAACAAACTGTCTGCTGTTGTTGCTGCAAGACCGGCCCCATCAAGGCGAGGTTTCACATTGAGAAGAACACCTTCGTCCCTGGTGAGGCCATCAAACTCTTTGCTGAAATCAACAACGGCTCTGGGAGAATCACCGAGACATGCGTTTCTCTAAACATGGTACAATTTGATTCGAATTTTAATGGAGCTGATAGTTTGACTGATAGGCGGATGCAGTGGCGTAGCGAGGTCGGGTATCACCCGATGCGGCACGAAATGGTGTCACCCCCCAGAGGCGTAGCGACCCTTCCCGGGTACGAACTTTAAATTTAATTTTCGATTTGCACCCCCCCCCCCCTCAAACTTTCGATTTGCACACCCCCTCAAACTTTCGATTTGCACCCCCCCCCCCTCAAATTTTTCTCTATATATTTTGCTATTTTTTGCCTTGGTGTCACCCTCCTAAATGGTGTCACCCGGTGCGGTCCGCACCCCCCGCCCTCCGCCCCCCCCCCTCGCTACGCCTCTAGGCGGATGGATAAATGGATGTATTAATGGATAATTAAACGTGTGGGTTTCTTTCACTTTCAGCGCACTACAATTTCAGACATTAGTTAATTTGTTAAACTTGTAAAAATATAATTCAAGTCCAAGAATCACATTTATTTTTAAACAGCTGTACACTTTCAAATTAAACGAAATGGAACATCGTTCTGTGCGAGAGATCGCCAAGGTTACAAGGCCTGGGATAGCACCATACGAGACGGATGTCTGGTCTGGTGAAGAACTCGTGATCCCGCCTACCCCACCGTCTTTTCTCCCAGGATGCAATTTGATTGACATAGAGTACTTTTTGGAGGTAAAACTAGTCACATATATATTACAAATGTGGGTTTTTGTTTATATTTTATTGTATTATATTACAACATACAAGAGCAAAGCCTATCGGACTGCATGCATAGAAATAATTTAAAAAAAAAAAAGTTTAAATCTGAAAATTCTTTTCGTTTCCCTTTCTGTCACTTCTATTCCCTTGTTCTATGTTTGATTTTTTTTTTTAAGGAAGGGGGAATTTCCCTTTAGAATTACAGACCAAAAAAATTATCCAACTATTAATAATAGATTATTTAATTTTTGTCAATTAATTTTAAATATTTCAGCTGAACATTTCTTCTGCAAATCTCGGCAGCTATCCACCCATTCGACTGAAGATTATTATCGGGACAGTTCGAACAGTGACAACCACGCAGCCCGTTGCATTACAGGTTGCACGTTTGGTCATGCAGATGGCGACAAATAGATTATGGTCAGTTCTATTTTTTTTTACATTGCAGGGTTTTAGACTACAATTAATATTAACTCTTTTGTGAAGTATAATTGTTTAATTATGAAAAAAGATTCGCCGAGAGATGAAATGATCATTTAGAGAGGGGAGGGATTTAATAGAGGATCAATGAGAGATGGGAGTATAGTGGAGATGATTGGCTATGGAGCGTGAAATGGGACAGTGGCGTTGCCATGATTTTGTTCCACAGGGTGGTCAGATATAAATAAATATGTATATATAAATTATATATATATAGTATATATGATGTGGATATATATATATATATATATATATATATATATATATATATATATATATATATACATTTATATACATTTATATACATTTATATACATATATATTATGTTTGTATATGTATATAATTTAAATTTTACCCAACAGATTATGAGGGAATTCATCTATAAATGAATCATGAGGATCAAGTGCAAATGGATTTTAAGATTAAGCTATATAATTCCTGGATTTTGTATGATGTCTATGTTCTTTGTTGGAAAGGCCATTCAATTAAGGCTACAAATATAACCAAATATAACCGACAAGCGTAACATCTTAAGCAATGTCTTTGCGTGCAACCAACGAGGATCGGCGGGAGACAACATAAGCTAAATCTAATGACTGGAAAATGAAATCTATTTAAAAACAATTTGCTTAAAATGTTAATTGATAAAATGCCTAATTTCCAAATGTAACGAGCAAAATAGCCATCGGTTTCTGTTCTGTATTAGCTTTTTTACTTTTTTTTTTTACTTTCTCGTATACGAAGTATAAAGGAGTATTGTAATCGTGCAAAAAAAATGAGATTTTTATTAATCTCGACGTTTTACACCTCCCTGAGTCGGAAATAAATAGTTTTGCAATTTTTTTTTCCATGTCTGTGTGTGTGTGAGTATGTGTGTCTGTTAACACAATAAATTTGTAAATCTGTATCAACTTTTCAGCGATTTCCGGTAACCGGAAGTTGAGCCTATTTTACTTTCCATTTTTTCAAAAGCCTATAACTTGAGTACTGTTTCAGATAGATAAATGAAATTTCATAAGTAAGTATAAGATCTAATATTCTGCCTTGTTTCAAATTTTGAGTAATATCCGTTAACCGGAAGTAATAATTTACGATATTTCCTATTTCTCAAAAAACGCATATGAATTTATAAAGTACTAATAATATTCTGCACTATTATACACATATTGTTTGCCATTCACTTTGTGTGCAATTCTTTTTTTCTCTACAAAATTATATTCTATTTTAAAAAGTTTAAGTAATTAAAAATTGAATAAAAATCATGTCTATTTCCCCAGTTGCCATCCCCCGAATTGTTTTATAAGAATAATATTAGCGAAAGTTTAGGGGAGATTATTCCTGGTTTATTATATATTTTTTACTCCACGCGTAATTTACCGCGTGTTTGTTAAAATTAGTTTATACAAGGTGCAACAATTTAACAAAGTAAATGTGGGTGGTTAATATGAAAAATACAATGTGTCCACGGAGCAGGTGGAGTAGAGTTTACCTTTTTTTCTATTACCTTGGCATATGAAGGGAGTGTATGGTCAGCTACCTTTACTTTCCCTAACGTGAGTCATGTACCCATCAGAGTTAGGTGGACTCGGGTTAAAACCGGATTAAAACCTGGGATCCGAACTCGAGACTTTCGTGGTAGCACAAGCATTCGCCGACACCGTATGTTTGAGTTAGCAAACATTTAAATGTAGATCTAACACACCTAACCTTCATCAAAAGCTAGAAATACACATACTTATCTTATAGTCAGTATCCCACCAAAAACATGATTCAAAGCGCATACATTAAAGTTTTAAAACTGTTAAAACTGAATAACCAATTTTATCTGAGAATTTTTTTAGGCATCTCCAGGACGAAAAAAAATTATCTATATATATAATTCTCTACTGGGAGCCGTTAGAAAACAAGCTGCAAGCGCCTCCTTGCAGTCCCCTCTCTTTCTCTCTATCACTATCACTACCACCCCCACCCCACCCCCACATTGTCTGGTGAGCTGTGGTCACGCTGTTTACATTTTACAATCATAGAGACGGGTTTGGTGACGGCTATTAGGGGCAGATAATTTAGTTTAAAACGATTTTAAACTTACAGGAGGTAACTAAGAGGAGGCTGCTTTCACGTGGGGGAGGGGGGTTTAGTGTTTTTAAGCAAATATTTTCAGTGGCAGCATTGGTACTGTCAAATTCACAAATTATAAATTACTGAAAAGTAGAAAAAAAAAACAACTAAATAGCGGCGTATGATACGCAGCGGGTCGGCTAGTATTATGTAAATTTAAAAATATGAACTTAAATGTCCGCTCCCTTTACCCTCGAAAATCTCAGGTGCCCCCCCCCCCCCTTCCTACCTGGAGACACAAAAATGTCTGATAGTATTAATTGAACCTGGCCTAGATTGAAATCGGGCTAAGCAAACAGCACGCATGTGATCTCCACAATGCCGCTCGAATCCGGTCCTTTTCGCTGGTGCACCCGCGGTACGGTCACACTTTAGCTGACACACGGTGCGACTCTACAGCTGTTAGCTGACACCATGGGCAAGCCGACGGTGTTTGAGATAAGTTATGACCAGCCTGATGGGGTGTATTACTCTGGTAGTAAAGTGAGCGGCTATGTTAAACTGGCCTTTGATGAGCCCACACGGGTTAGAGGTAAGTTTTGTACTTCATGAGTAAGGATCAACACGAGTCAGATGTAAATTCTGTACTTCTTAAGTAAGGGTCAAAAGAGTTAAGTTTTATAACTCTTAAATAAGGGTCGACACGTTCAGAGGAAAGTTTTGTAACCCTCGGGCAGGGAAATCCACGGAATTTCTTTCTTGGATGTATCAAGTAACCCCTCCTACACGGAGATAAATGCCTGAAAGAGACCCTGGCTATCTATCGTGTATATAAGAACGTTTTTAATATGTCACATCTACATTCTACGAGTTCATTATGTACTGTGTGAAAATAAATATTTTCCAAATACTTTGCATTGGGATTAATTTTTTTAGTATTTAAACATGTCTAGGTGAGATTGAAAACTAAATAAATCTTATGGCTAAAACTTCTTATGGCTAAAACATGTTTCGTTTAAGTTCAGCTGATTTCTTATTAATTATTTAGTGTTGAAACTGCCTCTTTTCCTTGCACTTTTTCACCCCCCCCCCCTCCTCATCGTTAAGAGACATGTGTTGTTTTTTTTAAATAAAATTCAAGTACTGGATCAAACCAATCGATAAATCACCATCAACCAGTGCTACTGGCTTGCGCAATACCCTCTCATAGCTAACTACTGACGTCATACAGCTTGCCCGCCGTGTCAACCCACACGGAGGGAGCTGAACTGAGAGACTTGATATGGTGGGGGGTGGGGGACCAGTTGTGTGAGGCAGGTTAAAAATAACTAATCTACCTAAAGACCGGCAGCTCAATATAAACCCAGATAACTTTATCTTAGACCGGTTTCTGTATTTAAATTTTATTTTAATCGAAACTATGAAGTGTCATGTATAAAAAGGGGTTCTGATTTACCTAAGTTTTAGTTAAAATATACAAATCAATGAGTAAATATTTTAATGTGACGAATAAGCGAAACTGCAACCACAACTGCAACAATACACACACGCTTACACACACAACACACATACACACACACAAATACACGCACGCACACACATGCACACACACACACACACACAAACATAACCTCCGCGTACCAAGCGAGATAGTAGTGGTTGAGACTTTAGATAAGGCATTCAATGCACTCAACTGAGCATTAGAGGGTTTTAACCAAAAGTAACATGTTGACTTAAAAACACTGATTGTTTTAGTCATGCTGGAAGTTTGGTTGTTGTTTTGTGGTGACGTGGCATGATAGCTGTGATGTGGATTTTTTAAAGTAAAAACAACAAAAAATGTTATTTGTAAAAGCACTTAAATCTCAATATATTTTTATTTTTTGATGGGGTGGTTGCCGACTGCTTACCCAGAAAGTGATGTTCGGATTCTGGGTTTGAGATCTCACGTTATCAAAAAAAGGCATAGAACTGACAACACTAGCCTATATATAAGCGAGGGTGGGGGTGGGGGGATGGCAACGGCATACTTGGGGATGTAGCATGATTGCTAACTCTAAAAGCGATGTTTTAGTACCTCCGAGCAGCAGCTCATCTAGGCGAGAAAAATATCAAAATGAAACAAGTGTTGCCCTGAGGTCTTTCTTGGATGGACTAAGGCAATGGAGGCTAATTCAGAAAATAAAGCTGCTGGATTTGGAGTCTACGGGCTATAGGCCCCATGAAGCATAACATGTGATTTGTTTTGATGGATGGAAATCCCCATTCACTATTACAGTTAAACGTAGAAAAAGAAACAGAAAAAAAAGCCTAGTTCAATTAAACATTTTAACTCTACTTCATCTGCCCTAGACGCATTACATATTTCGTCATTATAATCTAAGTATGTTCTAACCTAGGTGCAGAATTTCTTTCAGTCGTCGGTGCGAAGGAGAGGCGGCTCACCCCCCCCCCCCCCCCCCCCGAATAACGTCTACCACCCGCCCGACCCCCTTTGAACGAAATGGAATTTATATAGAAAATATATACTTTTACTAGTGTCCGTCACCCACCCTGGAAAATTTTAGTCCGCCCCCCCCCCCCCTCGAAAATTTCAAGTGCCCCTAGAAAAAAAAAGTTTGAAAGAAACACGGATCAGCTGGCGGTTTCTTGTCTCTCCAGCAATCAGCATTCGCTTTAAAGGCCAGGCCGATGTGATGTGGAAGGTAGGCAAGCAGTACTACAAAGGTATAGAGCCGTACTTTGAACAGACGCTGATGCTTCTAGGTGTAGGTAAGTATATTTAAGTGTATACCGTGGTTATACTATAGCAATTTTAGACGATTTTTCTCTCATTACCGCCCTTATCTACAACGTCACATGTCCATGTAGATTGTAGCCACGCCATCTCCGCTGTAATTAAAATGACGTCACAAGATTCCAAGCCAAACCCACAACATATCCACAATTCAAACGAAAATAAAATGCTTTATAAACGTGGTACCTCCCACCCCATCGTCCCTACCTTACATACTCCAACGTTATTTACTCACCCATCCCCCCTCCCTCCTAACGGGTATTAGTCTTGACTAATAACAGTTGAATGGGGGGGGGGGGTTGTTCCTTTTGATATCACGACAGTTGAATTGAAATGGGGGGGGGGGGTTGAACATTACAAATCTTTATATCATTCGATCAAGCAAATTATTATAAAACAGCCTACACATGTATGTATTTATTGTGTATTTATAGAGAGGTGTGTGTGTGTGTGCGCGTGTGTGTGTGTGCGTGCGTGCGTGTGTGTGTGTGTAAGGCTTCATGACAGTGGTAATAGTGTTGGTCTTTTTTACATAGTTTGTTCTAATAACCATCCCTTCCCCTAACACTAACAGCCACATATCTGAACTTAGTTAACCTTTCTATGAATTAACCTTTCTATGAATTAACCTTTCTATGAATTAACCTTTCTATGAATTAACCTTTCTATGAATTAACCTTTCTATGAATTAACCTTTCCATTAATTAACCTTTCTATGAATTAACCTTTCTATTAATTAACCTTTCTAATCCAACCAGCGCCGTCACAGAACCAGACGGAACAAGAACTACCAAGCGGACCCCACAGCTTTCGATTCGAGTACCAGCTTCCGCACGGCCTGTCCTCGTCTTTTCAGGAAACCGGCGGTAAGGTGAAGTACTCAGCCACCTGCTACCTCATCTGGTCTGGGAGTTTGAACAAAAAGTTAAAAGTGCCGTTCACCGTCGTCGGCTTTCTCGACCTCAACACCATTCCAACCACGCCAGTAAGTAGGGTACAAAAAAAAATTAAAATGGTATGTTGTTTCTATTTCCCCCCCCCCCCCCCCCCCAGCATGGAAGATTTGATTGTGTAGTCAGTAAAGTAGGCAAAGTACCTATTCGAACCTGACGGTTCAGGTGGCAGGTGAAGTAGAGTTCAGCTGTTTCTGTACTTACTTACTTAATCCTCATCACTCCCTGTGGAGTATAGGGCAGCAACAAATCTCCGCCATTCCACTCTGTCTTGGGTGAGCCACTTTAGTTCATGCCAGGTCTTGCCAGTAACCTGTACTTCTTCTTCCATCTCTCTTCTCCATGTTCCCAGAGGTCTTAATTTTGGGGGTCACTAAGAACTGTTTCGGAGTAGAGACTTCCTAGCGGCTTTCATCTAGACTCGTCATATCAGGCAAAGCTGCCTCAATCCTCAGATGCTTTTCCATGATGGTTTGATTTAGATCTGTTGCCGTTTCCGTAGATGTTTCTGTAACCTCGGCATATGAAGTGAAAGTGTAGTTATAACTATGCCCAGCCGCCTTTACTCTCCCTAACGTGAGATGGGTGGACTCAGGGACGTTCTACTGACAAGAACCCGGGATACGAACTCGAGACTTACGGATTAGCAGTGCTAAGTTCAACCATCCGACCACGCCATCTCACACTGATCATGTAGGCCTATAGTTTAATCTTTTTAAAAAATCAACACTAGCTGTAATTTTAAATTATTTAAATGTTTATTGTCAGTAATTCATTTAACGCGAATATAGCTTGTGATCACTTTGTGATTAAACTTTGGTTACGTTAAAGCTTCAAGGTACAAGCGAGAAACAGCTGTGTTGTTGTTGCTGTAGGTCTGGCCCCATCAAGGCCACACTTAACATTGAGAAGAACACCTTCGTCCCCGGTGAGGCCATCAAAATCTTTGCTCAAATCAACAACGGCTCAAGCAGAAGGATCGTCGAGTCCAACGCAGCTTTAAACCTGGTAGGTGGTAGTTAGGTGGTAGTTAGGTGGTAGTTGCGGTAATGAAAGATAGATTGATGGACTGGTGGACGGATGGATAGGCTGACGGACTGACGAACGGACTGATTGATGGACTGATAAATGGGTGGACAGATGGACGGATGCTTGGATGGACGGGCGGTTGGTCGGATGGGCGGATGGAAAAGAAAAGACTGAAGAATGGAACTGATGGACGTACGGATGGGTGGGCGGACATACTTGTTAACGGACTGACAGACGAACGAACGAATGGACGGACGGACACATTGACTGAGGGACGAACAGACAACATGATGGACAGACGGATTCACGTACGAACGGATGGATAGATTTATTGACGGAGTGACGGACGATCGGATGGGTGGACAGATTTAATGACGGACGGACGGACGAAGGGTTGGGTGGTGAGATTTAATGACGGATAAACGAACGGACGGACGAAGGGATGAATGGACAGACGGACGGAGAGACTGATAGATGGAAGAAAACTGACCTATGGATGGATGGATGGGTGGATTGATGGATGAATGCTGTTCAGGCGACGAACCGATCGATTTATCGATAAATATTGAATACTCCATATTTAGCTTTGCAATCTTTTCCCCAGGTGTTCACTTTAAAAGTTTACGACGACAAACGTATTGACTCCAGGGAGATCGCTAGGGTAAGACGACCTGGGATAGCCCCACACGGGAGCGATGTCTGGTCGGGTGAGGAACTTGTGATCCCGCCCACTCCACCTTCATTTCTACCTGGCTGCAACATCATTGACGTCAAATACATTTTACGGGTAAGTTATATCATTGTGTTAGTGATACGGAATTATTTTTCGTTTTGCTTTTTGATTATTTAAGTTAGCAGGAGCAATGTAATACGTTTAAAATGTTGCGTTTTAACGGTGCATTAGGTCGTACAAATACTGTAAACATTATTTTCGTAAAACAGATGAGTCACACATGTCTTAAAATAGTTTTATTAGGTAAAATATAATAAAATCAATGAAAAAATATATAACGAATATCTACCCATCCATCCCTTTAGCTTTATAGCCCATAGAGTGTGTTCGTCTGTCTTATCCTCTTTTTCCACTCAAGTCTCCTGTCTGTTGCCTGTTGTCTTTAGTTTACTATCTGCTGACTGTTGTCTGTTGTCTTGGTCTACTTCTAGACCCCAAACTGCCGTAGGTCTATCTCCACATCATCAAATCATCAGAGCGCAGGCATGACTTTTGGTAGTTTCCATTTGTTTGGGATTTAGTTATAAACCACTCTCAGCCTCTGTTTTTCAACATTCTGTACAGATGGCTAGTCTTCTTTTTTTTAAATGTCTGCCACTGTATAATACACGTATAAAAAGCTATAATCAGTTGTAACTTTTAACAATTAATCAGTACCTGTACCTTATTGGCCTAGCCAGATTTTCATAATAGTGGAATGGCAAAGCAAGCCTACATCATTATTTTAAAGTAAAGTACTCATTCAGATCAAATTCTCTACCCGGGGATAGTGTGGGCAGCGCTATGACCTGCCGTATTTACCTTACTCGACTTAAGTCAGGTAAACAATCAGTTTATCAGTACCATACATTTATCCAACTACTGTTCAAAATACTAAAATAAACAAATAAACTATATCATGTTGTGTTGGAGATTTGTTGCTGCCCTATACTCCACAGGGAGTAAAGTGGATTAAGTATGTAAAAGTAATATTGTGTTGGACCATTAATTCAGCACATAGAGAATACATTACAATGTTGCATTGTCCAGCCTTTATTTACTACATTGTTTGTTTGCTGGCTGGTGACCTCTAAAATGATTACATAAGCTCATAATTATCTTTTCATTAACGAAATTAATATAAAACAGTTACAACTCAATGATTTAAATTATTTCATTATTGTTTTACGATGTAAATTGTATAAATTGAAACTGATTAAAATTGAATTCTAATTCTTTTCAAATATTTTTTTTACTACAACAAACACCAGAATCCCTATGCTACATGCTAATGAACCAATATACTAATGAACTAAACACATACTAATGAACCAATACATCATATGTTTATGTTACAGCTGCATGTGGTCCCAGCAGGCCCCACCCTAGGGGTGCGCGTACCTTTAGAGATCATCATTGGGACCATTCCTAGGGTCATAACTACACAGCCCATTGGTCCGTCTGATGTGCACTGGCCTGTGGTACCAGAGACTTACTAGATGGACATTGGTACGTGTGTAGATATTGGGATGTTTGTACTGCTTGTGTACTGGTGGAGGGAAGGGTTGTGGATTAAAGAGTGCATTGGTGGAATAGAGATTTGAAAGAGATGGGTGGGTGAGTGGTCTAGAAGATGGGAGAAGATGAGAGACTGGAGTAACGACGAAAGAGGAAGGTTTATTGTGTGTGGAGGGGGGGGGGGAGTATCCGTAACTTAGGGGAGTGAGAGTGGTGAGGACCGGTAAAAGAATAAAATGAGAGAGGGGTGGAACCTGGAGAGCAGAGTTTCTTCCAGGCATCTCTTCGCCCCCCCCCCCCCCCCGAGAAAATTCTACCACCCCCCCCCCCCCCCCCCGAACGAAATGAAATTTATATAATTTATATAGAAAATATATACTTTTAATAGTGTCTGCCCCCCCCCGCCCCCCGAAGAAAGTCTACCGCCCCCCGAAAATTTCAAGCCCCCCCCCCCCCCGGAGAAAAAAGTCTGGAAGAAACACTGCTGGAGAAAGGAGAAGATAATCGAGATATTGAGTTGAGAGAGGGGAGACATAACGTTGAACATCGCGTGAAAGCTTCTAATAAAATTGTTTGTAAACTTATTAATTTATTGACACTACCAACCTTACCTTTACCTGATCCAACAGACTGATGCGGTTTTCATCTAAAACTGAACAGCTTGAAAGAGGATGTTGTTAATATGTCAAGCTCTTGACTCGAGCCTCAAAGGGAAATTATATAAGCAAGCTATTTTTGTAAATACTGTTATGATAATTTACTTCAACTAAGTAATCTAAAAACAAAAAATGGAACCTATTTTACATTATGTGTAGTAAGAAAGAAATACTACTATTGTAAATCTGTATCAGTCCTCACGCTATATATTACGTGTCTGAGGCGAAAAAAAAAGTACATTATTTATGTACGCATCTTTATTTGTATATTTAATTAACAATAAAATGCAAAGTTTCTAAAATTGGCAGTTATTTTGTTGTAATTTCTTGTAATTGTTTCTTGTATCCAAGGGAAAAAAATCGAATTTTTCTCTGTTTGATCCTAGTCTGCTTTACAACATGAAATCTTTAGTTGTCTCTCTTTGTGTACACAAACTATTTCAACACGGGCTATTTAAAACTGATTTTACTGTTGTTGTTTTAAATAAATATACATTTTTAATATCTGCATGAGTTGTTAATTGATTATCATTGAAATTTTTTTTCTTTACTAAGCCACATGAACGTTTGTGCATTCTTACGAAACATTTACAATTACTACACAAATATAAATCTGTTCACTCCGTGTTAGGCGATTCACATTTACAACATTGTTGTTTTAGCAACAAGTAATTACCAAAATCTACTTTTAAAGATAGCAAATTCGATTTTAGATATCAAGCACAAATGGAATGCAAACTATTTAATGTTGATAATTAGTAAAAATAAAAATACAACAAGTTATAATCTATCTATATATATAATTCTCTTCTTCGAGCCGTTAGAAAACAAGCTGCAAACGCTCTCCCTACCTCCCCACCCCTACATGGTTTTAGTGAGCTGTGTTCACTCTAAATGTTTACAAGCAGAGCCAACGATTTTAAACGTAGGGGGGGGGGGGGGGGGGGAAAGGAAGGGGGGGGGGGTTATGGTCCTTAACGAGCTACTTATAGTGTTTTAAAGAAATATTTTCAGTGTCAGCGTTGGTACTGTCGAATTCACAAATTATGAATTATTGAAAATTAGAAACAACTAAATAGCGGCGCATGTTATGCCGCGGGCCGGCTCGTATTAATAATAATTATTAGCTTTTAAATGCACTGCAAAAATATATTTTAAAAAATAACGTGAACTTCATTTCTTTAGTAAAAGTAAAATGATCGTTGCAAGGGGGATAATTCAATTATATTACTGACAAAACTAACCCAGCCTGGTTATGTCCCCTTATGAAAATGAAACTAACCCCGAGGGGGTGGGTGTCGGCTAAAGAGTGACGTCCTTTTATGGCAGGGGGAGTGAGCGATGAAATAGAGTTTTAAATTGATACGTTCACACTTATGCTAGACATAGAAAGAGGGAGAGTGAGGAAGATACCGGAGTAAAATTGATAGGGCCCTAAACTATTTGAGATATAGGCCCCACCATAAGGCCCGAGTATTAAATCAAAGCTGTTCTATGGTCTACATAGGTCGGCAACCTTTTGAGACGGAAGAGCCAAAAGTCACAATCTACAAAATGTCACAGTTTTTAAAGAGCCACTGACATTTGTATGTGCACTTCGGTAGTGGAAAGCAGGGAACAATTGCCACGGGGCTGGCCACAGCATAGTTGTGGGGCTGGGCCTAATGCAGGCGGTTGTCAGCTCTCCATATACGCTCTACACTCCACCTATTCTCATTTTTTTTATTTTTTTTAAAGTTGCTTTTCTTTTTACAATATAACATTTTTTGAGTTTTGAAAATAAAATAATAAAATTATTAAGGAACTGGAGAGTCGCATATTGACATCAAGGGAGCCGCAGGTTGCCGACCCTTGGTCTACAGAGTTTTCATTGGGACATATACTTGAGCAGTAGATGTAAGCAGTGGCGTAGCGAGGTCGGGTGTCACCCGGTGCGGCACTTAATGGTTGCACCCGCCCCCCCCCCAGAGGCATAGAGGCCCTTCCCAGGGACAAACTTTCAAATTTTCGATTTGCACCCCCCCCCCCCCTCAAACTTTTGATTTGCACCCCCCTCAAGTTTTCGATTTGCACCCCCCCCCCCCTCAAACTTTCGATTTGCACCCCCCCCCCTCGAGTTTTTCTCTATGTATTTTGCTATTTTTTGCCTTGGTGTCACCCCCCTAAATGGTGTCACCCGGTGCGGTCCGCACCATCCGCCCCCCCCCCCCTCGCTACGCCCCTGGATGTAAGCATAGACCTACATAACTATTTCTCTTTAGGGAAAGAAAATTTGGGGGCCCCCACTAAGCTAGGACTATAGTTTTTTTTGTTAATATGTATAGAGTGGGTGGGAGCAGGCGCCGTAGGTTCGGATCCCGCTTGGTTACAACTCCTCTGTTCAGATAGTGATAGCCCCAGTAAAGACTTTACTGGGGCTATCACTATCTGTTTATATTGATATTTGCTAAATAATAGATTCTAAATCCGGCACTGTGCAGATAATATGTTTTGAAAGGTTATTCTTTGAAAGATTATTCTGCACCGTACCATGAATGAGTAAATGCTAAAATGGACCTAGATCTAGACTCTCTATGACTCTATGAGTATGTCAGTGTCACACAAATAATTTGTCATCTACTAAAATCGTGCCAGATCATTTCTCAACTTTTAATGCCACTCCACCATCTCCTTTCGGTAATTATTATGCTTTGAACTAGACTTGCAATAAGTTGTTAATACAACAAGACACAGCATTGTTTTTACGGTAAAAATGTGTAATATTTGGCATAGCATACAAAATATCTGCCAACGAATTTTTAAAAAATATTTTCAGTCAGCCTTAGCTACAAAACAAAGATTCCGAGCCATTTTAAATTGTCTCCCTTAGTATCACTCTCAAAGTGAAAAAAATAGTTTTATAGTCAGTGTTTTGCATCATTTTGTAGTTACACATTTATATTAGGAAAGTTGACTAGGCCAAAGCTGCATCGGTTCTTTATTACTTTTATTTATTAATGTGCGCGGTGTAGATTATTTCCAAGCAGTGAAAAGAAGAAAAATCTAGATCTATGTATGCCATAGTTATTTGCCTTATGTTGGGAATCGTTGCAGCTATTGCCATTTCAACGATTCTTTCATCGCTGGATGCTTCTTCAGACGAAAATGCAGTGAACAGTCCGACTAAAGCGCAGATTCGAAGGAGCCCGATAAGTGGTGAAATGAGGAACATGTTTTGGATAGTACAGGTAGATCTAGGTCTAATTGTACCGTAATGCAATAATAATATCATGCCAATATAGATGTTTTCTAGAATCTACTATGTATGTTGTATGTAATATTGATCTAGATCTAGATTCGAAATCTAAATACTAAATACTAGGCCTAAATAATAAATAAATTCTAAATGCAGGTCCATGTCATAGTCATGATGTGACAGTAGTAGTGACTAGATCTAGATCTAGTAACTACAACTCAACTGTATACAATAAAATATAAAAATTAGCCTACCCTAGATCTAGGGCCTACTAATTAGTAACTAATTAATTACATACCACTTTGATATGTATAACCCTACATTGAAGTACATTCTTTTTAAATTTTAATGTCTAGGCTTGTTTTATAGGCCTAGGCCTGATCATCTTTATTTTTTAGCTTTCAGATATCCACATCAGCAAGTATAAAGATTCAGCACGTGGTCCTGACCTACAGAAATTTTGTGATGAATATATCCCTGTCATCAATCCAAAACTTGTCCTTATCACTGGTAATGATTATAGTCTTTTAAAGTTATTAATTAGGCCTATATGTTGCTTCACTGATCAGATGAATACATATGTACTATATATTTAGTAGGCCCCATATAAAGAAATTTCCCTTCCAAATCAAACACATTTTTAAAAAATTAAATCAAGATATTTGGTGTAAACGTGAATTAAAAGTGTCAAATTTGCTATTTCAGGTGATCTGACTGATGCTAAAGTACAAGATGGTATTGAGTCCCAACAAATAGAAGATGAATGGATTATGTATGAGAATATTATGAAACGTTGTAGCACACTAAGCCAGGCAAAATGGCTGGATCTACGAGGAAATCATGGTAATCTAATTTATCTTGTCATTATATCTTTATTCTTCATGGCTATTACCTTGAATATTTTCTGCAAATATTGATAGTCAGTCAACGTATTCTTGTTTAGATAATTCCACTGTGTAAAACAGCGACGGTTGGAATTTATTTAAAAAATTGTTATACATAAAAAATTTCAAAATTAAAAGTTTGAACAAATTTCTGATTTTTTATGTGCACATTTTGAAATTTAGGAACAAGGTACAAAAGCTAGAGCATCTTAAGCATTCACTTTAAATAATAAAGTTTTAATCTGTCATGCTTTGCTAATTATTTTATAATTACTTAATTAACCATCACTTTTAGATTCTTTTGATGTTTCACATTTTGACAGCAAGAACAATTATTTCAGGTCAGTATTGTACCTCATTTACTTTCTGGTTTCTATCTCTCTTTTAAGCTGCAAACATTAAATGATTGTTTTTTTGGTTGTCGATGTTATTGGACAGTTTCAGTTTTCTGGTGAGCCATTTTCTCCATGTGTAAGAGTCCACAAAGCAGATATAGTAGAGTTGACTGTTTCTGTGAACATGGAGGCTGTTTCTAGAACAAAGCCCAGCTACAAACTTATCATAACATAACCTCTAGTCCTTCTTGTCTGCATGATGTTGTGCTACTATAGTTATGTGTTTCGGCCTGATATCTATCCAAACCATTTTTGTTTTAAAAAGCACTACCTATAATTCGTTTGAATGTTTAGCACTTTGTATATAAGAGTTAATAATAGTATGTTATTTTTGTAGAGTTTTTCTGTCACCATTACTTTTCTTTTTTCTTACAACTGTTTCTATTGAATTTTTTGCTGTTATCGTCACTCATTGATGTTTTTTTTTTAAAAACCAGATCCCATTCAGTCAGAAAGACAGGCTCCCAGAATCCAACAGAGCTGGATGGTGCTTATGTTCACCAGCTTGAGTTGCCCTACGGGGTGTATTCTTTTATAGGGATTGATGCCTGCAGTAAACCTGGGCTACACAGGCCTTTCAACTTTTTTGGCTACCTTAATGAGGTTAGTTTTGTACTGTTACGTTGTGGCTGGATTGTTTGTGGAAAATTGCTTGCATAGTTAATAATGTAAAAATATCAATTTTTTTTTCTAATAAAAATGTTTTATTTCCCCGGTACTTTCTTGTTTAACTTCTAAGAGATAAAGACCTAGCAAACTGATACTTTATTTTTTGCGGCATAACACCAGTTTGTTTTGTCTTGACAACAGCTATGTTAAATTTTTATTGTAATGAAGATTTGCATATTGGAATAACATATTACTAATTTGCAAAAGCCACAAAAGTGGTATAAACATTACGTGAAAGACAAATTTCTTATCTTGAATTTATGTGCTACAGTTGAGCATCAATCTCTCTGAAAATTTGAAACATCTGTTTGCATTTGAGTTAAACTTAAAAATGGAATTTTTTTCACTCTCTGATGTTAAACAAGAAAGTAAAAAAAAATGATTAATTTGTATTTAATTAAAATGAATTAGCTGGTCAGTTTAAAAATTCTTTATTTATTTTTTCCCTTTTGTCACAACTTGACTTTAGGCTCAGATTCAACACTTGAAAAAATTGTCAGCACTAACAAAACACAGCAACCAAACAATTTGGTTTGGTCACTTCCCAACATCTTTAATCGTTCATGATCCTCCTATATTAAGACAAATTATGGGGTTAGTTTCTACCAAAACTAGCTATTTTTATAGTTTTTTTTTTAATTTTATTTTAGTTTTATAAGTAATATGTTCTAATTATAATTATTATCTGAAGTTTCATAAAAATAATGTCCCCTTATGGACCTAAACGTCCACATGGGAGTTAATCTTTTTCTTTTACCACTATACATGAACGGATTGTGTGGTCAGCACTATGCCCCAGCCGCCTGTACTTGCAGGTATAACCAGAACCCTGGGATTTTCTAGTCCTATAGTTCAAGCACTAAGTTCACAAAACCTAGGGGCATATAGCCTACATACAAGTGGTTTTAAATCCAGGATTTGAACATACAGCTTTAGATCATACATTTACTAAATTCCTTAGATTGTAACACTACCCACTCTTGAAAACTTTTTTCACTCCTATCAACAATGTTTGACCAGCCTCTGCATATCTTTCAGTAATGGAATAGCCTATCTCTGCGGCCATCTGCACACAATGTTTGGCTATGTACCAAACATGTTTGCCAAGCATAAAACAGGACAGCTGGAACTGGAGTTGGGAGACTGGAAAGAAAACAGAATGTAGGTTTTGGTTTATTTTATTTTAGTACCAGGTTTTTTTAAATATCTAGCCAAAAATAATTTGTGTATGTTAAAGTATGTAATCTGTAGGATAAGTAATATTTTTTTCATTATATACTTTTATGTGGATGATTATTGTTTGTTCTGATGAAGCCCTGAGATTTAAAATTTATTTTTTTTTCACTACAAGTTTTGATTGCTTGAACTGTGTTTGTATTAAATTATTTATCAGAGTATTCACACACTTAAAATTAGGAAAACAAAAATCCTCTTTTCACCTAGACAACTTGTGTATGCATTAGTTTATTTAGGGATTTATAATTAATGTTCCACATTTATCTCTGAGAAATTATTGGTTTTGTAAAATCATGGAGAAAGCTAAAGATATTTTACTCGAGAATATTCTCTTAAACCTAGCTCTAAGATTTAGCAAATTTATTTCTTTTATTGATTAACCTCTCATTATGTTACTCAATAACTCACCTGAACAACATTTTTAACATTGACACCCAGCGCTGCTTATTTTTTATTGTCTGTAATTTTATTTGGTAAACCATTCTTTACACACAAAAAAAACTGACATTACAGGTTCCGAGTTCTTGTCATGGATCATGACATCCTAACTTTTACTGACGCCAAGCTAGGAGATTGGCCCCTGGTAGTCATAACAAACCCCAAGGATAAGCAGTTCATCTCTCCAACACTAGAGCCCATTGATTTGATTGCAACATCCTCACATATAAGGTAAATAAAAATAATTTTACCATGATGGGTACCTGACTCACATTAGGGAAACAAAGGTGGCTGGGCATAGTGTAGACCTCACTGTCGCCCTGTTTGCCGGGGTCATTGAAACAGATAAACTCTACTTCAACCATCTGTCCTATGTGTCTTGGGCACGAAATGAGGGAAAATGATGCAAGAGTCTTATATACTAATTTGATAGTCGCTACCATAGTTTCATACTCAGAATATTGTAACTGGGGCTATATTTTTTTACAAAAAATCATACACCCAATTTTTTGTTTCAGCACAAAATTTTTATTATGCTAATTTATATTATGCTTTAATTTTGTTTCTAGAATTGTGGCCTTTAGCAGTGCCCCCATCAAGATGATAACAGTCAAATTAGACAACCGCATAGTAGGAGAAGCTTATCAAGTGTGGCGTGGGTATCCCTTGTATACGCTGAGCTGGACCCCCCAGTTGTTTGTTTACGGTCAGCACACCATCCAAGTTTTTGTTCAAGTAAGTGTTAGAGTTAGCTAGGGTTAGGATTAGTTATGTAATATTGTTGTGGTAAGAATTAGGATTAGTTCAAATGTTGTGGTGAGAGTTAGATTTATGCATGTTGTTTTTGTACAGGCTAGTCCTAGATCTTATTGTTAGGTTTATAGGTGTGCCAGTTGTTTTAATAAGGGTTAGCCCCACTTACTTCATACTATGTACTAAGGGTTATGTTTTGTTGTCCTAGGTTTGCTTAGGCAGGGGTTAGCTATAGTTAGGTCAAATTGATAAGGGTTAAATCTAAAAGTACCACATTGCTGGGTGGGCGGTGTGGGATTGTCCCCCATCCAGAGGCGTAGCAACCCTTCCCGGCGCCCGGGGACAAACTTTTCGATTTGCACCCCCTCCCCCCTCAAGATTTCGATTTGCAACCCCCTCAACCTTTCAATTTATTTTTCCAACCCATTTTGGCGCCCCCTAAGGTTAGCGCCCGGGGACATATGTCATCTACCCCCCCCCCCCGCCCCCCCCCCCTCGCTACGCTACTGCCCCATCCCCATTTGATTGACCCTCATATTGATGCCACTTCTGCCAGGATGAAATGGGCAGAAACAAAACCATCAAACAGCATTTTACTCTGGAGATTGCTGAGAAAAAGTTTGGCATTGTGTCCAGGGCTCTGCTCATGTTAAACATCTACTCACTGGTAGGTTAAACATTTACTGGTAGGTTAAACATCTACTCACTGATAGGTTAAACATCTACTCACTGGTAGGTTAAACATTTACTGGTAGGTTAAACATCTACTCACTGGTAGGTTAAACATCTACTCACTGGTAGGTTAAACATCTACTCACTGGTAGGTTAAACACCTACTGGTAGGTTAAACATTACTCACTGATATGCATTCACACACTGCTTTGTTCAACATCAACTTTCTGTTGTGCATTTACTCACTGTTATGTTAACTATTTCTACTAACATGAACATGCTCAATCAACTACCAATTAAGGATTGTGTTACTTACAAATAGTTAATACACTACCTTTCTCCTTTGACAAAAAATCTTTTGTAAGATTTTTAATTGTAAAGGTTATTTTATTTAAGTTCATTTTAAAAATATATTTCATACAAAGCAACATACTGTATATGTCTTAACTAAGTGAATTCACATTCCCGTATGTAATCAAGAAGACTTTACTGATTTATTTATACTTACTTAGTGGTTTGGCCATTTCTAACATGACCGTATCATAAAACTTAACTCTAGTTTTTAGTAGACCTGGTATATGACAACATATATATTTTTCATTCCAGGGTAAGCTGGTATTTGGCTTACTGGTGTTCTTCTATGTCTTTATTCTCACATCATTCCGCCAGTGTATGTGCATTCGACTTTATTATCTACGTGGTGAGTTGGTGTGACTTATGTGTTGAACCATAGCTGAATACGTAACATTTATATAAACGAGTTGTTGATGGTTTCCCCATTTACCTTTAAATAATGAACTGGTGCAGTAGGTTTTGGAGTGTTGGGAATATATATGTATATTTACTGTCAATGAACAATTCTTTTTTGTTTTAAATTAAATCAGTAAAACTTTGTAATTGAGTAGAATATAAGTACAAAAAATGATACCTTAATGTACTGTGTGACATTTTACGTTAATAAAAATATCAGAAAAAAAAAAACATTTTTTCTAATATGTCATATCGTTATTTATTGTGAATTTAAGCATAGGTTTTTTTCCTATCAAACCAGATGTTATGCTATTGGGCCCAGTTGTTAATTCTTTTCTGATGAAAATCTGGCTAGCTGCACGCACCAATGTGGCATACTACATCCTTGTTGGATCTGTCCTGTACTTGACATTTGGTGAGTTGAATACTTCTTGAACTTGACATTTGGTGAGTTGAATACTTCTTGTACTTGACATTTGGTGAGTTGAATACTTCTTGTACTTGACATTTGGTGAGTTGAATACTTCTTGTACTTGACATTTGGTGAGTTGAATACTTCTTGTACTTGACATTTGGTGAGTTGAATACTTCTTGTACTTGACATTTGGTGAGTAGAATACTTCTTGTACTTGACATTTGGTAAGATGAATACTTCTTCTGTCTGACATAAGTTAATTTTAGCCAACTGATCCATGTTGCTACATGCTGATTATCAGAAGGTTTGATAGAATAAAAGTTTAGGAACATAAAATTGAAGCCTGGAAATAGGGATTGGAATAGTTTTTAAAAAAAAATTTATATTCTCTATAAAAACAGTCTGAATTTAGTGTAGTAGAATATAAATTTTGAAATGTAACAAAAAGCATATGCTGTGGTACAGTTAAAAAAAAAGTTGTCTATTCTTCTGGTTTAGAATTGAGCTGCATGAGTCTAGCCTAGACATTGGTTAATTCTAAACATTTATACACTTATCTTTTGAAAATATCAGGAGATGGTGGGGGGAGCGTATAAATGGTCATAATTTATGACTCTCTGGGTGTTCAATATAATGATAACTGCATAAGCTGCTGATTACTGAATAACAGACAAAAATTTTCACTTAAGGGTTCATCATATGAATAAGTCATCTTTAGAACTTAGACAAGTCTGTTGCACATTCCCTGTATAAAAAATCTGCAAACATATATTTTTTTGTACAGAAAATCTCTAAAATCTATTTGACAGGTCCATGGTTCATCGGCCACCTCTTGACTGACCAGCTGGGCGTGGTCTTTGTTTGGGGTATCTTGATCAACGGCTCATTCATCCCAGGGGGTTTAACCTTCTTTTACGGCATTTTCCAGGTAAGTTAAAACAGTGTATTACTTTATTGTGTGCTCATAGTAAAACAATGTATTACTTATCTTGTGCTCATATATGCCTGACACTACATCAATATCATTTGACAGTTAAATTAGAATTAATTTAAAACATTGTGTATGTGTATGAGGGAATCGGATTCTTAAATATACATTAATAGAATACAAATACATTTTCCATTAGCTGTAATAGTAAAGCATGATATATTTTAAAATAAATAAAGCTTTGGTTATAGTGAAAGTTTTGTAAAGTACTGGTCAAATTATGATACATTATATTAAGTGGTAGGTACAGCATGGTTAATTGATAGAGCTTACGACTGCCTACCTGAAAGTCTCGAGTTCTGATCTCAGGATTGAGTCTGTATTGTGTCCCTTCGTTCTAAATTTTAGTGTTGGAAGGGATCCCCTAAAACACAATTAAGTATACGTGTCAACTGGTTATGCGCCATTAAGGCCATTGACTCTGATTTCAGCCTGCTGTTCTTTTTGGATTTGCTTCCATAGCCTTTGTGAAACCAAGAACAAACTACAAGGCAGCAGTTGTTTGATTTTGGAGTTGTCTCTCCTAGAAGAGTGACTGTCCCCAGATAACGAACCTCATCTGCCCGAGGGTTCAAACTCGAGACTTTTTGGTTTAGCAACCACGAGCTTTACTGATTCGACCACGCGGACCATAATAGTATTACTAATAGTGTCTGTTGGTATGTCCAACATACTGCTTGCTTTTTTATCATGCACATGTTAGATATTTGTTAAAGCTGATTGCTCTCAGAAATATTTTTTGCTGAACATGGTGAACTCCGTTGAACTAAAGAAAACACTGTAGGACACTGTACCCTATTCACCAAAATCTAATTTGTGTCACCAGTTCCTGTCCTTCAACCTCCCCTTGACCTTGATCCTGGGTCACCAGCTGGACCTACAGCGCAAGCACGGCAAGAGACTGACCATCCTGAAGCACATGAGCATCCTGGCGCCGGCCGTTGTCCTGCTGGTCATCACGACCAAGCTGGCGCTGACAGAGTTCCCCTCCGCGTATGGTGTGGAGGCCCTCTTGTACGGGCCCCTGAGGACAGGGAATGTCCTACTGCTGCCTGCTGCTGTCTGGCTGGCCTACAGGACTGACTTGAGGAAAATTCTTGCAGTTAATGAACCGGCTTAACGTTCGCTCTAATTAGGCGTGCTTGAATGTGTCGGTGGGAGATGCTTGTTTATTTAAATAGCTGTGAATGGTTTGTTAGGATTTGTGAATACATATTGAAGATGATTGAATGTGCAAGGGATTATCTGTTCATGAATGACACAAGCTATGGGAGGGTTGGTTTGGCTCAAGTTGACTTGAGAGGATGCATGAGTCCTGGAAGAGTTTTTAAGAGAATGGTTCTATTTATTATGTGATATAGTGTGGTCGGATGGTAGTGTGCATACCCTAAGTCCACCCGCTTTGAATCACGGAAGGGAAAATGAATGCTATTGGGAATAGTACTGACCTCATTATCCCTTTATAAGCTCTACTTCTTAATGAATATATGTAGTATGTTTAGTACGTATGCCCACAATAGGGGCATTTGGAGGGTTCAACCACGCTGGGCAGAGGGGTTTGGTGGTCAAACCCTGTTTTTGTAGACATCATCAATGTAGAATCACTAATTGACATGCTTGAATGCATATTTTGGATTTACAAGAATGCAAAATTTTGTATGCTTGATGAATTTATAATTTGATAAATTGGAGATTTATATTATGGAAAAAGCAATGCACTTGAAGCATTATTTATCTTTAGCAAGCTCGTCTTTTTAAAATGATGTTATAATCTGCTCCAGTGTAAGCAATTTATTTCAGTAATTATATTGCTGGAACTTAATAAATAAAGGAATAAATAATTATAAATAATAATTATTAATAAATAATTTTTTTTTTTTCAAAACAATATCAACATATTTTGTGGCTTTTATAACATTATGTAGGGATTTCGATCTGTGAACCATTAAGATTAACTGAGCATGCTTAACCCATATATTATCTTGCTTTATGTAATTATGGAGTTAAAGCAATAGTGAAGAAAAATTGGTCTATGTCACAGCACACATCACGGAAAATTTTCAGGTATCTGGCATCTGATTGGTTCGTTACTGATTTTATCAGCGACAGATCTACACCATGCAGCAGATACCCTTGCTATGCTACTTGTCAAATGTAATTGTACAGTCATTTTCTTATCCAAAGATAATAAATGTTTAATTATTCTTTTGATCAGCTTAATTGAAGATTTTGTACTTTTACTAGCAGAAGACAATCTGTGTGTTATTAGATTTTATATTCTTTTTGGATTGTTTATTAAGTAACATGTCGTTTTAACTTAGCATGTTGGTGTCGAGACTAGTTGTGTAAGGTTAAGTCTGTTCGTGGGAGGTTAGGTCTGGTAGTATGAGGGATAATTCTGATAGTGTGAGGGATAATCCTAGTAGTGTGAGAGATAATCCTAGTAGTGTGGGGGATAATCCTAGTAGTGTTGGAGCTTGTTGAAGTCTAAAACCCTACTGTTACCTGAAGTGTTCAGGCCTGTGTCAGGTCTGTACTCTATCTACTTACAAACACGATCTCTCCTATTGGCTGCTACACAAAGATTTTTTTTCTATTTATATTTCATCTCTTCCTATTGTTTGGGGAACACAGGATACCAAGAGAAAGGTATTTGAAACATGTTACCACATTGCGTTTTTAAGGTTGTTTCTTTTTTAATTTTCCAAATAGTTTGTTGAGATAGTCCTATGACTTTTACATAGCTCAGAGTAAAAATAAATTGTTTCTATAGTGTTTATATATTTGACTTTAAACCAGGAACATAAGGGCTTGCCTACCAGCTTGGTTTTGAACCTGATACTTTATTGGGTTAGTAAGAACTTAGCATCATGACAAATCAATTCTTATGAACTGCTATGTTTTTCTAGCGTAGTAAACCAGTCATTTGGGTTTTGAATTTTTTATTGTTAATTACAAATTTTTACTTGATAACTATTGCAAATTTGTTCCTGATTGTGTTTTCCCATTAAACACTTGGATAACTTCCCTTTAAAATACCTGGGCTATTTCCCTTAAAAACTTGAAGTGGGAAAATAATGCATCCCCATTGGGTATATAGCATAAGAGCCTTTTCTTAATATCTCGGAAATAATTTATAAACTCCATTGAGCATTTTAAACTGAAATGTATGTGGACCTGTTACATATGTATAAAGGGTTACATGGACTTCATTATTACCTCTAGTATAGTGAATACTTAATGCTTTATAATTAATGTCTTACTTTTTTAATAATGTCTTTGTCATGTTATTCCAAAAAAAAAGCCAAAAAAAAAAACCCAAACCTCACTTACCAGATGATCTCAATAATGTTGAATCCCACTGTCCACTGGTTTGTTTGCTGTGATTTTATACTGCTTGATCTAACATCATGCATGAGCTTTACAAAATATCAAATGGCTTTCTAATGGAAACAGTTGATTTTTAAAAAGTGTATTTATTGTGTCAATTGATTGAAATATTTTTATTTTATTCATTCATTCCCCAATGAGCTCAGCGATACTTCTAGTTGTAAAAAAAATTATATAATTTATTTTAGCTGATTACATGTTATTAAATAAAAAACAGCTTCTAATTGCAATATGAATATGTTTATATTATAAACTACATATAATTTATTTTAGCTGAATACATGTAATTAAACAATTAAAAAACAACTTCTAATTGCAATATGATTATGTTTATATTATAAATTTTACCGATGTCTAAAATGAAGCAGACTAAGAAACAAGCACTAAAAATGTATTCACTGAAACTCAAGATGTAGGCTATAAGTTATTTAACCTACATTCTGCTCTGCATTGCTGTATGTTTTATACTGTAATGTTAAAGTCTTTTAGAAAAAATAAAGGTTTGTTTTTGTTCATGAATTTTTTTTTTCTCTTTTTGTCATTGTTTCTGTTTGCCATCATCGTGGCATAGAATTTATCTGTTTTTTTTTGTTTTTCTTTTTTTTTTGAAGTTTTAAAATCTTAAAATTATTTTTACATATCAGCATTTTCCAAAGCCATTCCCTTTAATATTTTTTGGATTTCACCCCCCACCCCTAACCACCAAATGATTGTACTGTAATTTAAAATTGTGTTGATTGATAGATGGTTAACTGTTTCTATTTTGTGTGATTGTTTTTAACCAGCTTAAAACAAACTTAATAGGCTCTTTCTATAGCTGAACTTGACGTGTTGAACTTGCTTGTTACTAGCCAGTTGTATCAATAGGTAACTACTCACACAGCCAGTAGTATCAGTAGGTAACTACTCACACAGCCAGTAGTATCAGTAGGTAACTACTAACAGCCAGTAGTATTAGTGGGTAACTATAAACAGCCAGTAGTATCAGTAGGTAACTACTTACACAGATAGTAGTATTACTCCTACAGCAACACCACTGATTCAGTGTTTGAGACAGTCACTTGCTAGAAGTCATTCATTTTAAAAATACCAAGTTTTGAAACTGCTGTCACTTAAAATTTTTACTATTTCTAAAACAGCTTTAAAAAAATATATATTTTACATGTTTTAATGGATAATATCATGTAAATAGTAAGCCTAGTAAATAAACTATAGGAAGTGGAGATTAAATAAATTATTTTGAATAAAAACATTTTTGTTTTATTTCACTGAATGTTTTTTTATTTCAATAAATTGTTGTCATTATCAAGACTTTGTAAAAAAAAAATGCTTCCAATGGTTTTATAAACCAAAATCACAGGAATATGAAAAGCTTTTGTCCTTCAAAAACTCACTTCAAGGGAGAATATATTTTTTTTTTAATCTTTACGACCCTTCAGGGGAGAGAATAAAGTATCTGACATGCCGATGTATGCTGGGATTGTTGACGTGTGCATGTGGGTGGGCACACATTTTCCTGTGTACAAAGACGGTGCCCCCAGGTAACGGAAGTGATGCTAGGTCCTGGAATGAGGGGGGAAAACAAAAGTCAGTATTAAATTTGAGCTACGTCATTATGTGTCCAGGTTTATTTTACAATGTACCAATTTAAATGAAGTATATTAATATACTATACTATTGTCCTACATAGTGAACGAACCAATTTAGTTTTAGTTAATCTCCGCTCGATAACATAGCGTACCCTAAAGGTAGCATATTTTAATTAGATAAACTTTTTCGACAGTATATTTTAAGATGTGGTGTCAGCCCCTAAATGATTTTACCCGGTGTCCCCACTGTGTAAAGCTACTGACAATATTGTACAGCGAGTCGCGTAGCTTAATTATCAATATGGCTGTCCAGCTTTAGATGTATCACAAGCAGAGTTTCTTCCAGGCATCTCTTCGGGGGGGGCAAACATTTTTTACCGCCCCCCTTCCCCCCCGAACGAAATGAAATTTATATAATTTATATTGAAAATATATACTTTTAACACTGTCCGCCCCCCCCCCCCCCGAAGAAAGTCTACCGCCCCCCCCCCCGAAAATTTCAAGTGCCCCCCCCCCCCGGAGAAAAAAGTCTGGAAGAAACACTGATCACAAGAAAAAAGCAATTTGCACTCCTGAACAGAGTTTCTTCCAAGCATCTCTTCGAGCCCCCCCCCCCCCCGAAAAAGTCTACCGCCCCAGAACGAATGGAATATATATAGAAAATATATACTTTTAACAGTGTCTGCTCCCCCCCCCCCCGGAAATGTTAGTCCGCCCCCCCCCCCCCGGAAATGTTAGTCATGTTATGTGTATTGCTATTCTGTGGTGCCAAACTTGAACTAAATGGTCCGTGTTTTAGTTATTGAAAGAGTCAAATAGTTACTGATAGAGTCTAGTAGTTAGCCCTAGACAACACGAAACTTACGCTAACTTCAAATCTCCTGAGCGATGTTGCTGTAGTCTTTCTTCCACTCACTGACCTCCCGTCATTAACAGCTCGACAAAAACTGACCACACGACCTTCCAAATCTCGGAGATTCGGCTCGCTCGTCTCCCAATCAAAAACGTCCTCATCATTTCCGCTTTTCGACACTTCCGTTTCCGGTTTCGCTTTTCTTGCTGCAGATTTGACTATCCTGATACGATGCCTGATGTTTTCTTCTCTCATCTGCTCCATCTCTTCGAAAATACTCTCCACCGACTCCTTGTCTAAAGTATCCACACCATCCCCAGCGGATTCGAACCAACCAGATGTCTTATCTTTTGGTAAACACTCAATTATTTTTAACGAAACTCCAATGGCCGTTCTTGGTCGGCTTACACTTATTGGGGAGAAAATGCCTACAGTTTTTCGGCTAAATCCGACGGAAGTCATTGGTCGAGTGGCGCTGACGTCCACGAGTTCACGCTCCACGCCGAGAAGTTCTTTCTCAGCAACGATGTTGTTTTTTAACTGCGCAATACTTCGAGGGACTACTTTTTTGTTGTTGTCGAACTTATCTTCTTTATTTCTTATATCCCTCCTCGGTCCGAAATTCCCTCTAGAAATAAAATGTCGCTTTGAGGAAATTTTATGATGCATGGAAGCTTTTGCGTAAGGTTCTGTGAGCGGAATGTTTTTACGTCGGAAAATCTCTAGTAGGTGTTTCGGCTGGTTTTGGATCTTTTTCCGTAGCTCGCTGGAGTAAAACCTGCCAGTACCGCGGTGTCGGTCCAGCTTCGCTTTAAGCTCCGACACCAAACAATCAAACAACGGAATCTGTGTAGCTTTAGATGCTGCGATTCTGGCCTGTATTTTCTGTGAAATGTAAAAGAGAAAAAACATATGCTAATTTATTAAATCAAAATTATCAAAGCACCCAAAAGGAAGCGACCAAAAGGCATACCGAGATTTGGGTGAATAGTGTTGAAGAAGGTTGTGAACCAAGCCAAAGCCCTCTCTGGGCTGTAGAACCACAGGAAGGAATGGATTGATAATACACTAAATTAGGACTAAATTAAATTATTTTAGAAAGCGCTGTGGGTAAAAAAAAAGGCATATTGATCACACGAATTATTTTGATTTTAAGCTAAAAAGCTCAGCGATGACATGACATACTGATGTTCTTGGCGGTCAAGACACAAAATCTGTTTCCGCATCAAATCTCTTTTTTTCCATTAATCCACCAGCTGTGTTGTGTACTCGACTCCAAAACGACGTCTTAAATAAACAATGGCATCATTGACGCCGAAGTTTTCAAAATGTTAGTTCGTAGCCGTAATATTTTTGTAAATCACAAAATTTCCATTTCAGCTGTGGGTAATATGTAGTCCTTGCTTTTAAAATCACTAAGCGAATATTCTACATCTAGTTTTTGTTGTTGTTGTTATTATTATACGGATTAAATATCTACAACCATTACAATGAACTGACATATAACAGGTGGCACTCAGTACTCACGTGATACGCCCATCGGGTGAGTACGCCCAACGTCGCGGGGTTCTTCTTGACCACCAGCCTCTCGTAGTTTTTCGTGTTGAGCACGTACACAAAGGTTGATGACGTGGACACGGCTGTCTCGATGCTGGTCGCCAGGTCTAGCACCGTCTCTATGTCACCTGTGTGGGGAGATACAAGACACCTGTCTGTAGGAGTCAGGAAACAATACCATGCCCATCTTGTAAAATCGATGAATTATATTGATGGCATCTGATGGTACAACGATACGAATAATGAATAAATTAAAGTTATGTAGGGGAGTTACGCTTTTTTTTTGCCCATTCTTTATGTGTCTCCTCCCCCAAATCGGCACACATCGTCTTAAAAAGACCACCCCCCCCCCCTTTCCTGTAAAATGATACACTCCAGCCCCCATGTTCAGCCAACTAAGAAATATTTTTTAAAGTGCAGTTGTGTTGGGTCAAGATTAAGTGTGTTGTTCAATTTATATAAAAGGTTACAAAATAATCTTATAAGTGTAAAACACTAACAAAACTTAGGTTTAAAAACTCATTTTGAAAACGTAAAAAAGTATGGCGTCACACTTTCAGATCTTCTTTCCTTCCTTCCCCCAGCCATTTCCGTCGTCACACATCGTCACATAAGTTTCGGTGTTTGATTAATTGACGACCCCGAATTGCCATGGTGATATGACAAAATAAAACAACACTAGCTATTGTTACAAATAATATGGCAAAAAAACATAAACTTGCTATTGCTAAAGTGATAAGAGGAGGCTATATAAGTTAACAAAAGACGTTACCTATAACTACACCAGCTAGAGGTAACAAAAGAAGTTACCTATAACTACACCAGCTAGAGGTAGCAAAAGACGCTACCTATAACTACACCAGCTAGAGGTTACAAAAGAAGTTACCTATAACTACACCAGCTAGAGGTAACAAAAGCAGTTACCTATAACTACACCAGCTAGAGGTAACAAAAGACTTTACCTATAACTACACTAGCTAGAGGTAACAAAAGAAGTTACCTATAACTTGCCCTTTCTCTATACAACTGATATCAACACATTTGGACTTGATTCTTTCTTCCGCCGCGGCATATCCGAACCTTCGCCTTACAAAAATTTGCTCCGCCGTTAGCTTGGAGCTTCTGGGGGAGGCTTGTGATGGGGTCAACTGTCTCGTCGGGTCCGTATCAGACTGAGCCCTGTTTCTGTAGAATTTTATATTTGTTTTACATGTACGATTAGTAATAGACCAGACAACTCAACAGAGAGACAAAGTGTCACGTTGTGTTTCTAACCAGAGTGTTATTTTTTTCGAAAATACCATTCACCCATGCTGAGACCTGTGGTGTCACTTTTATTTAGCTAGACCACTGCTGTTCAAATGATTGGGTCACTATTTTCTTTACATCAGTCATCGTTGCGCCCAATCATTGGGTCCCCTTTTTGTTTACACCAGTCGTCATAGCGCCAAAATCACACTCACATTTTTAGCAACACATATGGGTTTCAGTAGAAAATTTGGGTACACTCTTTTGATAATACCAGTCACCCTTGCGCAAAAACCATGGTGTCTAGCACACACCACCATTATGATTAAAGACATCCACACTTGTTGGACACATCAGAAGACTACTCACAAAAAATAAGAATCTACGCGGGTACTCGTGTTTACCCTAAATATTTACGTGTAACATTGTGTAAGGCAAGCTCACCTGTGCCGTCTGTACTGGTGTTTCTGCAACAAATCCTGGAACTGTTGTTTGTGGAGGCGGGGTGTCACGGTCAACTTGACCTGACCACTGGTGACAAAAACAGAGGTCGGTATTAAATCACATTAATTAGGCATAGTAAGTAAGTAAAAATCCCTTTCGAACCTGACGGTCCATGTTTTATGACCTCGGCATATGAAGGGATGGTGTGGTCAAAAAAACACCATGCCCAGCCGCCTTTGCTTTCCCTAGCGTGAGTTAGGTACTACTCAGAGCTGGGTGAACTCGGGGATGTTCTAGGTACTCGAACCTGGATTCAAACTTGAGATTTTCTGTTTATGCACTACCTTTCGACTACTCAGTCCCTTTTCTTTCTTTATTTTTTTTTACGAACATCACCAGCTTAGGAGGAGTCCCCCATTCTCCAATGAGGCCTCAGCACGACAAACTCCGACTAACTGGCTTAGATATTGTTATCATTGTCCCCTAATAAAAAATAGTAGTCGCTACTAAAGAGTTTGTTGTTGAACATGAAAAAATTAAAATCATATTTTTTCTGAAATCGAAAGGAACTAAACACAGATAATTGGTAAAAATACTAAAGAAAATAGATGTAGGCGAAGAAAGGTCAAATCAAACGGTTTATTTATTTACTCCGTTCTGTCAACATTCCCTACTAGAAAAATGGCCCATTGAGGAAGGATACACCGGGCGCTAGGTTGATAGTGCTGTCTCTTTTCTCTAAACAAAAACCACCCCCCCCCCACACACACCACCCCCACCCACACCCACACCCCCCACCCCCACCCACCCCAACCCCCCCACCCCCCCACACACCACCCCCCACCCCCACCCCTACACACACCACCCCACACACACACAACCCCCCACCCCCCCCCCCCCCAAAAAAAAAACATGTCTACCGTCCCATTCAACGAAATATAATTATATACTTTTTCCAGTGTCCGCCCCCTCCCCGAAAATTCTACACCCGCCACCGAAAATTTCAAGTACCCCCACCCCTCTCCGGGGAGGAAAAAGTCTAAATTAAAACCACCCCCCCCCCCCACTCACCCCCCACCCCCCCCCCCCCCACACCCACATCCCCCCCACCCCCCACCCACCCACCCACCCCCCCCCAAAAAAAGCATGTCTACCGTCCCATTCAACAAAATATAATTATATACTTTTTCCAGTGTCCGCCCCCTCCCCGAAAATTCTACCCCCGAAAATTTCAAGTACCCCCACCCCTCTCCGGGGAGGAAAAAGTCTAAATTAAAACCACCCCCCCCCACTCACCCCCCATCCCCCCCCCCACACACACCACCCCCTCCTCCCACTCCCCACCCACAACCCCCCCCCCTAAAAAAACATGTCTACCGTCCCATTCAACGAAATATAATTATATACTTTTTCCAGTGTCCGCCCCCTCCCCGAAAATTCTACCCCCGCCCCCGAAAATTTCAAGTACCCCCACCCCTCTCCGGGGAGGAAAAAGTCTAAATTAAAACCACCCCCCCCCCCCACTCAACCCCCCCCCACCCCCACCACCCTCAGACGTTCTTACGCGGGGGGTGGGGCTTCGCCCCTACCCGAAGAATTGTATGCAAGAAACTCTTCACGCAAACCATTTAGATTAGACAACATTTCCTGTTTATTCAATGTTTACGCGATAATCAATGACGTCATTATATTACTGTGTGCACTTTCCGCCTTGAGATTATTTTCAACTTAAATATGCTAAATGTGTCGACGTCATATTTCGTTTTTAGAATTACTGTGCATGTTTTTATTTTGCTTGTGTTTTCTCTAGAGCGTTCTTGTCAGATAGAATTTTTGCTTATGTTTTCTCTAGAGCGTTCTTGTCAGACAGATAGATAGATAGATAGATACACAGACAGCGAAACTATTAGTATTAACGAGAAAAATGGCCCGTTGAGGAAGGATACACCGGGCGCTAGGTTGATAGTGCTGTCTATTTTCTCTAAACTAAAACCACCCCATCCCCCACACGCCCCCCCACCCCCCCACACACCAACACCCCCCACCCTCACCCTCCCACCCCCACCCCCACCCTCACCCCCACACCCCCCACACACCAACACCCCCCATCCTCACCCCCACCCCCCCACCCCCCCACACCCCCCACACACCAACACCCCCCACCCTCACCCCCCCCACCCCCACCTCCCCCCCACCCCCACCCCCCAAAAAAACATGTCTACCGTCCCATTCAACGAAATATAATTATATACTTTTTCCAGTGTCCGCCCCCTCCACGAAAATTCTACCCCCGCCCCCGAAAATTTCAAGTACCCCCACCCCTCTCCGGGGAGGAAAAAGTCTGAAAGAAACACTGGTGTCGCGCTTAGCCACTACCCGAAGAATTGCATTAAAGAAATTGCAAGAAAACCACTTTTTAGATTAGACACATTAATTAGGCGGTAATTTTATTATAGAGTATCGATGAAGAAATTTCTTTTGAGTTAGGGAGGGGGGGGGGGGGGGCTCATACGTTCTTACGCGGGGGTGGGGCTTCGCCCCTACCCGAAGAATTGTATGAATGAAACCACTGAGATTAGACAAAATTGGGTTTTTATTCAATGTTTACTCGATAATCAATGACGTCATATTACTGTGTACACTCTCCAGCTTGATAATATTTTCTTCTATTTGCTCAATGACGTCATCTATAATAATAGTTTCGCTGTATTTTCATAGTTTCACTATGCATGTTTTTAATTTCCTTGTGTTTTCTCTAGAGCGTTCTTGTCAGACAGATAGATAGATAGATAGATACATAGAGAGACAGCGAAACTATTATATAGAACGAGAAAAATGGCCCGTTGAGGAAGGATACACCGGGCGCTAGGTTGATAGTGCTGTCTATTTTCTCTAAACTAAAACCACCCCATCCCCCACACGCCCCCCCACCCCCCCACACACCAACACCCCCCACCCTCACCCTCCCACCCCCACCCCCACCCTCACCCCCACACCCCCCACACACCAACACCCCCCATCCTCACCCCCACCCCCCCACCCCCCACACCCCCCACACACCAACACCCCCCACCCTCACCCCCCCCACCCCCACCTCCCCCCCACCCCCACCCCCCAAAAAAACATGTCTACCGTCCCATTCAACGAAATATAATTATATACTTTTTCCAGTGTCCGCCCCCTCCACGAAAATTCTACCCCCGCCCCCGAAAATTTCAAGTACCCCCACCCCTCTCCGGGGAGGAAAAAGTCTGAAAGAAACACTGGTGTCGCGCTTAGCCACTACCCGAAGAATTGCATTAAAGAAATTGCAAGAAAACCACTTTTTAGATTAGACACATTAATTAGGCGGTAATTTTATTATAGAGTATCGATGAAGAAATTTCTTTTGAGTTAGGGAGGGGGGGGGGGGGGCTCATACGTTCTTACGCGGGGGTGGGGCTTCGCCCCTACCCGAAGAATTGTATGAATGAAACCACTGAGATTAGACAAAATTGGGTTTTTATTCAATGTTTACTCGATAATCAATGACGTCATATTACTGTGTACACTCTCCAGCTTGATAATATTTTCTTCTATTTGCTCAATGACGTCATCTATAATAATAGTTTCGCTGTATTTTCATAGTTTCACTATGCATGTTTTTAATTTCCTTGTGTTTTCTCTAGAGCGTTCTTGTCAGACAGATAGATAGATAGATAGATACATAGAGAGATAGCGAAACTATTATATAGAACGAGAAAAATGGCCCGTTGAGGAAGGATACACCGGGCGCTAGGTTGATAGTGCTGTCTCTTTTCTCTAAACTAAAACCAACCCACCCCCCCCCCCCCACACCACCCCCCCACCCCCCACCCCCCCCAAAACACACCACCCCCCCCACCCCCAAACCCCCCACCCCCCCCCCACCCCCCACCCCCCCCCCCAAAAAACATGTCTACCGTCCCATTCAACGAAATATAATTATATACTTTTTCCAGTGTCCGCCCCCTCCCAGAAAATTCTACACCCGCCCCCGAAAATTTCAAGTACCCCCACCCCTCTCCGGGGAGGAAAAAGTCTAAATTAACCCCCCCCCCCCACTCACCCCAGCCCCCCCCCACACACACCACCCCCCCCCCCCACCCCCCACCCACCCCCTCTAAAAAAAACATGTCTACCGTCCCATTCAACGAAATATAATTATATACTTTTTCCAGTGTCCGCCCCCCTTCCCGAAAATTTACCCCCGCCCCCGAAAATTTCAATTACCCCCACCCCTCTCCGTGGAGGAAAAAGTCTGAAAGAAACACTGGTGTCGCGCTTAGCCACTACCCGAAGAATTGCATTAAAGAAATTGCAAGAAAACCACTATTTAGATTAGACACATTAATTAGGCGGTAATTTTATTATAGAGTATCGATGAAGAAATTTCTTTTGAGTTGGGGAGGGGGGGGGGGGGGGGGGGGCTCAGACGTTCTTACGCGTGGGGTGGGGCTTCGCCCCTACCCGAAGAATTGTATGCAAGAAACTCTTCACGCAAACCATTTAGATTAGACAACATTTCCTTTTTATTCAATGTTTACGCAATAATCAATGACGTCATTATATTACTGTGTGCACTTTCCGCCTTGAGATTATTTTCAACTTTACGCTAAATGTGTCGACGTCATACTTCGTTTTTCGAAATACTGTGCATGTTTTTAATTTCCTTGTGTTTTCTCTATAGCGTTCTTGTCAGAGAGAGCGTTCTTGTCAGACAGACAGATAGATAGATAGAGAGACAGCGAAACTATTATTATAGAGATGTGTGAGAGGGTGGACGATCCAAAACGTGTTGGGATAAAAATAAATTTAGAGGCTAAAAAGTCTAAAAACCGGAACAAAATATCCGAAACAAAAGAAGCCATTATGTACCTGATGACGAAAATCAACCCCCTCACGGGCGCCCCCTGCTGGACAATGACCGAGCCGTAGGGGTGGTGCTCTTTGATGAGGCTCATCTCCAGAAGGTTCCGGAACTTTGGGCTCCAGCCGCGGAAAATGTTGCTGGACTCGACGAAACGTTTCTTCTCCTGGTACTCTGCTAATTGGCTGGCCTGGTATTTCATGGAGTTTTTGTTTTAGGTCATAAAACGATAGCTTAAAATATTTATGTCGTGTAGAAAATATTTTGTAATTTAATAATTTTTCACCGAAAACGTTTATTCTAACGGAAATAAATTTTAGGAAATGAGTCACATAAAGCGTCACAATGCCCTCATTAGGTATGCAACTCGACACGTGAGCTGCAATACCACAAAACACAACTTTAAAAAGTCCCTCTTTAAACCTGGCGATCCTTTAGGTAGATGAAGTAAAGTTCATTTTTCTTGACCTCAGCATATGAAGTGATGTTGTAGTCAGTACTATGCCCAGCCGCCTATACTTTCTCAATTGTCAGATACTTATCAGAGCTGGGTAGACTCAGGGACAAAAACAAGACAAACAGTAGCATAAGTAAGTAGATTGGGGTCGTCCATAAATGACGTCACACTCGTATGGCGGAGGGGGTCCGTAATTTTGTGACGGTGTGTGATGAGGGGGAGGGGGGTTCAGATGGTGTGATGTCACACTTTTGCATTATATAAAAGCAATGTTAGAAAACTAATTTTAGAAAACTGCTTTAATAAATTGTAATAGGAATTGATTAAAATACACTATGTTCACAGAGATCAGATAGGATTTTAGAACAATATCGATGTTTTAATAAAAAAATTCAACTGCAATTTTAAGGGGGGGGGGGGGTTGTAGGCTGAGGTGTGACGTCATTTTAGGGGAGGGGTCTGGCTTTTTGTGACGGAGGGGAGGGGGGAGGTAAAAATCTTTTTTAAAAAGCGTGACGTAATTTACGGATGACCCCATTCTAGCATTTGCAACAACTGCTCACCTTTATGCAAGTGTCGAACAACTTTTTCTGCACGACCAGCAAATCACATGCGGTGTCTGCTATGATGGTCGCGTTACGTACACAATTGTCACGTAACAGCGCGATCTCCCCAAAGCCTTGCCCTGCCACTAAAGAACACGCAAAATATATCTATGTTGCACTCATGCACCAGGGAGCAGCTTGTTTTAGTGTGTCTTGAGATGTACTCACCGAAATGCATGATGAACTTGCCGAAATGCTCCCTGGCGATGACGTCACTGCGAGACTCTTCATCACGTGTGCCCGGAATTTCCTTTTTATGCTCGTCCGCTGGTTGGGTTTCCGGTGTCGCGTCTTCGTCAGACCGGAAAGTGTCGATGTAGACCGAGGTCTTGCCGGACAACATGACATAGAATCTGTTGGTTTTGTTTAGAGGAAACATTGATGGGGTTACGTCACTTGCGTGATGCAATGGTGTTTGCAGATTTCTATTGAAACTGAAATCTTTAAACGCAGCAGCGAGGAAACTGATTAGTAGCACAAATGTTCCTCCTGGAGCAACATTTTCTCAAATAGAGATGGAATCTCACTGTCGTGCCATACATATTGTAAATAGATACGTTCACACAAACACATACACACATAAATAAACAAAAGGGTGTGTTTAAATGTATGTTTAAAAACACCGAACATTACGTACTTACTACAGAAGTGTCCCTAGACTTACCTGTCCCCAAGGTGCCCCCAAACTTACCTGTCCCCGTAGTCCCCTGGACTTACCTGTCCCTATAGTCCCCCAAAACTTACCTGTCCCCGAAGTCCCCCAAAACTTACCTGTCCCCGAATTCCCCTGGACTTACCTGTCCCTATAGTCCCCCAAAACTTACCTGTCCCCAAGGTGCCCCTGGACTTACCTGTCCCCGTAGTCCCCTGGACTTACCTGTCCCTATAGTCCCCCAAAACTTACCTGTCCCCGAAGTCCCCCAAAACTTACCTGTCCCCGAATTCCCCTGGACTTACCTGTCCCCATAGTCCCCCTAAACTTACCTGTCCCCGTAGTCCCCCTGCCGTAGGATAACTTCATCTTCAGATACCCGCTGGTAGATACAATTTCTGATCACCTCTCTCAGCGTATCTGTGGGACATTGTATAAATCAGGCTAAACTAATTGTATCAACACACAAACATATCATTCTATGAAACGGTCAAGAATCAAAAAGTTGAAAGCAATTAGGACATTATTAGATTAGATTTAAATTATATATATATATATATATATATATATATATATATATATATATATATATATATATTCTTTCTGCACGTATATAGTAAAGAAGCTAATTATAATTTACTTTTGGTCACTTACCATTCTCCAAAGACTGCAATAATTCGCTTTTTTTCTTCAGCCAAGGTATGGCTAATTCAATGTCCGTTTCCTTGCGTTCATCTGGGGTTGCGGAAATTAGACGAACCAGCCTCTGTTCAACACTCACCATCTCTTCTCTAGTGAACACCACTCCAACTTGCAACCAGGGTTCGGATCCCAAGTGGATCCCGTGTACTAACTCCTCCCACTAGATGAGTACATTTACATACAGGTTGACCTTTCTCCGACCATCACTTACGGTAAGGTCATGGTTTGTTGAAAAAACTCACAATTCATGAAGAATTTCTATACGTATCGATCTAGAAATAGATCCATTTCGGAAGCGGCTTAGTAACACGAACTTCTTATTAATAATAAAATAAAATCAACAATAATGTAACAAAATAAAAGGAAGCTGCAATTTTTCGCATGAACAATTTTAAGTCTTACACAAATAATCTTAAAAAAAATTTCTAAACAAACTTTAGTTCAGGTCCTGAAAACTACAGCTTAATTAAAGCAACAAAAAACCTAATCGCGTGGAAGAAATACTAAGAGCTTTCTGTAGGAAACTCCCGCTGAGGTAAGGTGTATGGTGTAATGGGAAGTTGTTAAATAGCGCCTTGGTTTTTTGTGTTCCGCGCATGAATGACTCGCTCAAATATGCAATCGTTCTCTTGAGCCTTTGGATAGTGGTTAAGTAACCTTGGGCAGATCAATAATTAGCTAAAAGTCGGATTCGATCGGTTGAAATTGATGTGGATTTGATAGCTGGAATCGATTGGTCGTTGATTGGTAATGAGATTTATATGAGATCGGTGGTGGTAAATAGGAATTTTACGATTGGTGTGGGGGTGGTTGCAGGATTTATTACAATGATGGCGTTGGCTAGGTGTGAGAATTGTCGCTAGCTTTTATTTATCGTTGTTGCTAGCTGTTATTTATGATTGTTGCTAGCTTTTATTTGTCGTTGCTTCTATCTAGCTTTTATTTATCGTTGCTTCTATCTAGCTTTTATTTATCGTTCTTGCTAGCTTTTATTTATCGTTGTTGCTAGCTTTTATTTATCGTTGTTGCTAGCTTTTATTTATCATTGCTGCTAGTTGGTATTTATCGTTCTTGCTAGCTTTTATTTATCGTTGCTTCTATCTAGCTTTTATTTATCGTTGCTTCTATCTAGCTTTTATTTATCGTTCTTGCTAGCTTTTATTTATCGTTCTTGCTAGCTTTTATTTATCGTTGCTGCCAGTTGGTATTTATCGTTGCTGCTAGTTGGTATTTATCGTTGCTGCTTGCTTTTATTTATCGTTCTTGCTAGCTTTTATTTATCGTTCTTGCTAGCTTTTATTTATCGTTGCTGCCAGTTGGTATTTATCGTTGCTGCCAGTTGGTATTTATCGTTGCTGCTAGTTGGTATTTATCGTTGCTGCTTGCTTTTATTTATTGTTACTTCTAGCGTCGTTTCTGGCTTTTTAAATGGTTGTTGTAAGTGTTATTGCTAGCCTTGTTGGACTTAAGCGGAGACTTCTTAAAGTATATATTTTCTGTAATAATTATATTTCGTTAAGGGGTATACTCCCCCCCCCCCTCTTTAAAGTAATGCCTGAACAAATTCTGGCCAAACATCTCTTTGCTGAAATGTAAAGTACATATATAACAGCTAACATCAGTGCGGCCCACTAAATTATTTTCCCTAAGAATAACCCATTACCGTAGATAGTCCTTAGCTTAACATACCAGAACATCACTCATGTGTTTTATCACTCACCTTTTCGGATTTAAACCGGTATTTATCCGCGACCAAAACGAACAAGCCAATACTGCTCGTTTAGATGTCCCATAGAAACCAACACCAAAAGTAAAATATATCCCGTATTTCCTAGTTTGACTAATACTAAAATACTTGCATTAAGTTGAGGCAATGACATCAGTACCACTGTGGCCAGCCAGATAAGAAGTTACGGGCGCACATTTTGTGTGGGCTCTCACTTACTAGATAACCTTTGAGCAAATGATAGCTGAACTTTATTGTCATTAAACAAAAACACCTTGTGAAAAAATCCTTGAGTACTTGAAATAGACCTGTTCACACGTACAAGTTGTTTACATAGCCGAAGTATCATGTCGACACGGCGGTGTTTTGTATAGCTATAGATCATGGTTGTTTTAAGTGTAAGGATAATTTAGGGGTTGAGTGGCTCCGAGTAGTCGACGGGGTGGTAAGTGGTGGTGTGTTCAATAATTTGTTAATACAACGCTATGAGTTGAACCAATGTTTGAATATTGTCACAGCGGTGTTAATTTGTGATATGTACGGGTGTTTGAAGTTCAGGGGTGGAGTGCGACAGCGGGAAAAATTTAGGTGGGCCGTGGGGATTGATGTTGTAATGCGCCCGTTATTCTTTTTATTTTATTAACCCTTCCGATTTGTTGTTTTGTTATAAGTGAAATTTTCAGTTGTAAAGTGATCCATGACTTAGTCGGCATCGGTCTTCAATCTTTGGATGACAAAAATGTGCAATGAAGGCCATTTTTACTTGTTTCCCGGGTTCGCTTGGACACAGCCATACAACCCCTGATCTAGTCTGTAGAATGGGATTTTTAGCTTGAACTCTCGTCACTTTACCAGAAATGGCACAATTTATTTTTAGTTATCAAAAACTTAACGCGAAAACAAGTTAAAAAATAAAATCTTCCAAACTTTATGTAGCCTGCATTTCGATAATTTGCCCGTTTCTATTTCAGCAATAAGTAATGAAGCAGGCATATTTGGGTATATGGTGGGGGAGGGGGGGGGGGGCGTGACTAACAAGGGTGCCAGACAATATAGTTTACCAGTTTCGATGAGAGTGGCGTAGGATGGGGGTATGTTTGGGGTCAATGATAATGCTTGTAATAAACTGCTAGTTAAGCAACGCTACAATTCTTTTTCAACAGCAGGGGGGTGGGAGTGATAAAGAGGGCGTCGTGGCATTTGCTGCCAATGTTTCTTCCAGAGTTTTTTCTCCGTGGGTGGGAGGGGTTGCACTTGATATTTCCTGGGTTGGGGCATTTTCCATTTTCCGGGGGGGGGGGGGGAGGAGCGTACACTGGTAAAAGTATGTTTTCTATATGAATTCCATTTCGTTCAAGGGGGGGGGGGGGGTAGACTTTTTTCAAAAGTTTGCTAGAAAAGCCAAACCATGATTTAAACGTGGACAGAGACGTAGGCTAGACAAGTTACTTTAGAAAAAAAATACAAAGGTACTGTTCAAGAAACGGATAAAAAACAACAAAGCATATTCAAAAGCTCGCTTCAAGTCTAGTAAACTACATGCATATTTCTATCTCGGCCCCTCCGCCCCTGCACAAACGCAAACACCAGCCCCTCCCTCTCATGTAACACGTATAATGCACACCCTTGTATTTACCTGCTTTTGTGCTAGAACAAGGTACGCTACTCTGTGGACTTGATTGTGTGTACATAACGATCAGGTGACTGCTTGATCGTACACTGGTGTACACATGTATGTATAATTACCAGAAAATCTTTACCACCTCATTTGTGTTTACTTATTGCACCTAGTCAGACATGTTTGATAATTCAACCCTTGGGAATTTTAAACACGTTTTTATTTGGCCAACCTGTTCTATGCGTTATGTGGCGGGTCCAAAGTGGCATTCTATACTTCATGTTTTCTACGGCTCTATACTGTGTGATACCATCAAGTCTCATCATTCTAAACACTTTGGGGACAGCTTGTTTCAACGTTACAGGGCCCCACATACTTCATGTCCAGTATCATTTTCCCATACTGTGTTTACGAACTGATCTGCATGGTTAATTATATTTAACAAACGTCAATGTTTAATAATAAAATATTGCTATCTCACAAGTTTTAAAATATTTCTGGGGAAGTAATCATAACAAAAGGAAAAATATTTACATACATCATTTCCCTTACTTTTATTAAATTAAAAATAATAAAATAAATTTGAATTTTAAATTACATATTCACTAAGAGTTGGAGTAGCAAAAACCAAAATTGCATTTGTTATGTTATCTGATTTTTATATTCCAAGGTGTTAACGTTTTAAATACAAATATTTATATTACCAATCTGAGAAAACAAGGCAACAGAATTTTTAAACATGCCAAACAATTTAGTTAACATGTGCTGATTTTGTTTATTTACAGAAACAAAGTGTTATCAATAATATCATTAAAGGCAAACAGACTTGAAATCTTATAAAACAAAACATGTTAAGAGTCATCTATCCTCTCCTGCGTGATTAAATCTTTACCCTAGCTAGAAGTGAAACAGGCCTGTAGTGTTTTAACTTCCATAAGAATGTTTAGATTTACAGTAATTAAATTGACCTACTATGGATTAAACTGAGAATATTTGGTTGGGAA